CAGGGAGAGAGGAAGTGCACGATGAACAGGATCATGACAAGGGGGAATATTCTTCTCTGGGGGCCCCAACTTTAGTGCAATGGATGGGAACCACACAGAGTCTGGGAGCAAAGAGTACGGCTTAAGTCCTGGCTCTCCTGCTTATTAGCCACATCACATGGGCAACGTAACCCAGCTTCCTCATTGGAAGAGGGGTGATGCTACCTACTTGGAGGGTGTCAGAGGTTGAGCCCACACACCCAGTGCACGTGACTTCACGGTATGACTGTCTTAGAGATGCCTGTGAGAACTGGGGGGCCTGACCACAAAACCATGAGCTTAGCTCTCCCAGGGCTACAAAGACAGACTCATGACCAAAAAGGCCCACTAGTTCTCCTGACCCCACTACCCCGCCACAAATTCAAGTTGACGCCACTACAAAATGACTCCTGGCTGTCCTCAGCTTTGAAGAGCAGACTTACTGGAGCAGTGCAGTTTCACAGGAGGCAGACAGAGTTCCTTGGCGATATCTGTGTTCTTGATGGTCAAGGCCTCTTCAACCTATGGGGCAGAAGGGAAGGATGAGCGGGTCCAGCAGGCCTGTAACTGGTGAGGGGCAGCACCAAAGGTAGGCAGGCTGTGGGGACTCTGGGGACTCCATTTTAATAACCCAAAGAGCCAAAGACCTTCAGAGGACTGCTACGTGCCTGTCAGAACTGCCCCGGACAGGGGCAAGCGAGGTTCTCAAAGACACACCTACAAGCCAGGAGCGAAGCTGTGAGGTCTCATAGGGAGCTGTGTCAGGCCAGCAACCCGAGTTCTTTAAAACAGTCACTTCCTGTGTGAGTGTTATGAATTTCAGCCTCTCAGACAGCCTTTCATAAAAAGTATGGGATAAATTCCTACAGAGACAATCAGCAGTGCTGAAAGCCTGAGCAGAGGGGAAGACATCTGGCACCGTGTCAGAGACAGGACTCAGGATGAGAGACCCCGATAAGGAGAATCTCCCCCATGCCGATTCCCCAATCTGCTGTGTGGAGGCGGCGCTGAAGGCAGCTGCTGGGACGGCCAGCAGACCTCTCCCTTTCCCACTGGGTGTCCCCGGCCCACCCAACTTCCACTCACCAAAACCAAACCCAACCCCCTGCCATCGAGTCGATTCCAACTCACAGGGACCCTATTGGACAAAGTAGAGCTGCCCCATAGGGTTTCCAAGGCTGTAAATCTTTACAAAAGCAGACTGCCTCATCTCTCTCCTGTGAAGTAGCTAGTGGGTTTGAACCGCCAACCTTCTGGTTAGCAGATGAATGCTTTAACCACTGTGCCACCAGAGCCTGGGGGACCTTAGGCAGGCAGTTTCCTGCCCATAAGCAACAGAGCCCCACCACCCTTAGGGGAGCCTGATATCCCCAACAGCCAGACTCCCAGGCTCTATCTCCCAATTCTGTTAACTCCACTTAAGAATGGTTCAAGTTCTGTGCCTGGAAACCCAGATGTGAGGACCTCAAGGCTAAAGAAAGGCCCTGTCCCCCAATATTCTGAACACACCTCAAGCCCACCTCAGGTCACGTCCTGAGACCACAGCTGCCTGCCTCCACATCACCCTCCTTTCCTAAAGACAGTGCTTGACAAATTACTCCACAGCCACCTGCTGGGAATGGGAAGTGTGGGGCTTCGTTGGCCTCAAGAAGCTGGCCAGCCAGGGCCCTGTGTCACAGAAGGTGGCACATAGCCTGGCAAACTGGTCTGCTGTGAGGCTGGCCAGCCTTCTGGGGCGCTCTCCTCTGTGACTCAGCTCCTAGAATCTGGTCTCTCAGGCCTCAAAATGAGTAGCCCACAGGTTGGCTTCTCTGCGCAGTCTTAACAGGTGGCCTGGGTTTATAGAAAGTCCAGCTCTTCCCTGGGCTTGGGGTCATCTACCTCTGCAGCAGGTGGCCAAAGAGGCTGGGCCAAAGGGTGGAAATGACCCAGAAGCCCAGCATAGAGAAAAATTTGATCAAGATCTCCGAAGGAGAAGCTAAACAAACCAACAAAATACTTTGACAGTTATGGTCACTTTCTTGCCTCACCAGACCATTCAAGGGCAGCCAGCTGTCTGGAGATCGTGATGTTACCGTCACACCTGCGGCGACCTTACCGTTTTCCCTTTCACCCACTCGGTGGCTAGCGAGCTCGAGGCAATGGCAGAACCACAGCCAAACGTCTTAAACCTGGCATCCACGATCTTCCCCTTCTCGTCCACTTGGATCTAGAGGAGAGAACAGAGCTGGGCAGTGGCCCCAGCGTCGTCCTTCCTAACCCAGGAGCTGGGCCTGAGCCCCGTCTTGCCTGCCACACGGTAATTTCTGGCACTTCACTGATGGGCGTGCTTTGTTTCCCAGTGCTCAGTGATGAAAAGTTAATTGGAGGAAATTATAAAGCTACACAGGTCTAGCTGGTAATGACCAGCTGAAAGATATCTCCCTGCCATGCCTATTTTTGGTGACAAAGTCCTATTTGAGGGCTCAGGGCTCAGGGTTGCTAGGGCCAATCTACCACTTTAAACCTGTGAGAGCAGATGAGCGAGGTCTCTGGCTCATGCCTTTCTCCTGGACACAAACCGTGTTTAGCGGGTCCTTCCTGCCTTGTCTGTTTCTCAGGATAAGCACGGCAACCCCCGGCAAGCTGCTCACACCCCAGGATGAAGGGGATTGTGGGTACAGCCATGGTTTCCCAGTATGCCAGCCACCACCTTCATGGTGCCTCCACTTTGGGGAGAGGGTAATTTATGATGTTTGTCTTATTGGGGTTTGGTAATTCAGTGGTGGTGGTTTTGCTTCAATCAGTCAAATTCACTACCCTTTTTGCTTAGCTGAAGCTGGAACTGAAGGTGATACAAGGAACAGAATAGTGACATCAGTTCTCTAGTTCAAAAGGGATTGGGAGAGTACATACGATGGCAGGAGAGCTAGAATTTCGTCCCTGCTCTCATCGTTTAACAGGGACTCAGCCCACCTCAGAGGAGGCAAGATGGTGAGCAAAGGAAAGGCTCTGTAGCAAGTGCTTCATAAATTATGCAGCACCATACAAGTGTGTAAGTTGTTCTCAGCTGCTGTTCTGGTTACTGAGTGCTGCTTTGTCAAGAATATACTACAAATGGGATGCCCTTAACAAACAGGAGTTTATTCTTACAATTTGGAGGCTTTAAGTCCAGGTTCAAAGTGCCAGGCTCTAGGGGCTGGGTGAAAGCCCCTCAACCTTGGGGTCCAGCTCTGCCTCCTGCTCCCGGCTCACTGGAGCTAGAGGCGTTTCTTCACTCAGACAGCTGCTGGCTGCTGAGGATGAGATGCCCCAAGGTTGACAAGTAAAAAGGCACAGTCCCGATGTTACCAATCCACATGGCAGGCCATTAACTTAAGTCCATTGTAAGTCCCAAGGTCGGCAGTGCATGGCAGGCTGCTGAACAATGACACGGCTATATGCAGGGTCCAAGGTGCCGTAAGCTAGCTACTATCCCCGCCAAGGCTTCTCCTTATATACAGGAAGCAGACCACATCCCAAAGGCAACTACTCAGCTGTGTGGTAGATCCCACCATAGAGCTGATTGCCAGTCTCATCATGGGGAATAACTACTGCTCAACCAGGCCCAGCCAAGTTGACACACAAATATAACCATCACAGTTGCTGAGTGGGCTCTGAGTCATGGCAAGAACACATAAAACAGAATGTAGTAGTGCCCGGTCCTCTGCTATCTTCAAAGGGATTACTGTTATTTCCATGAAAGACGAAGAAAACCTGTCATACCTGCAATTTCATTACATCACCACAAGCCGGAGCCCCTACCAATCCAGTTCCAACATTTTTAGACGTCTTGTCCAGGGACCCCACGTTTCTCGGATTTTCATAATGATCAACAACCTGAAACGAGAGGGGGAAGAGAAATCAAGATGACACTCTGTTGGTAGTGGCTCCTCAACTTGATGGCAACCTCCTGGAGGGCAGAGACTGAATCTCACCCATGCTCTCTAAGCCTGGCACAGGGCCTAGAACTGGAACCTGGCAGGCAATCAATAGACACCAAAAGTCACCTGGGGAGGAAGGCCCACACTCCAGCCAGTGAGAGCCATGTGTCACCCAAAGCCTTCTTACAGCTCTTCTCCAGCTACCTTCAGGCACTGTTTGAAATCCTGGAGAAAAATCAGCCACACCACATTTTAGTTCCACAGGGCTCTTAGTCACCAACCTAGTCTCCAGGTTTGCACTCAAACAGCATTCCTATTATTTCCAACAACAACAAAAAAATCCATTTTCAAAAGATAATGACTATAAAAAAAAATTCTCAAGATAATTATGAAAGCATTTCCAGAAGCTTTAAGGTGACGCTTATAGAAGGAATAAGGCTATGGAATGTGTCTATGTATGATATTAAACACAACAACAGTCTCACTACTGTATATTTGTGGTCCTGAAATAACACTAAGGAGCTCCGCAGACTTGGTGGTGAAAGCATTCCGCTGCTAACAAAAGGTCTGCGGTTGGAACTCACCAGCTGCTCCGTGGGAGGAAGGTGAGACTGACTGCTTCCGTAAAGATTTACAGCCTTGGAAGCCCTAGGGAGCTCTGTTCTATAGGGTCTCTGAGTCCCATCCACTCAAGGGGAGCGGGTTTGTTTTTGAGACAACACTGAGTCAGCAGCGCACCCTAGTGGCTGAAAGGCTGTGAGCCCAAGTTCACTCAGCGCAGAACTTCAACAAATCCCGGCTCTGGGTCTCGGGCGAAGAGTCTTCCAGCTCTTGGCAAACATGAAGCCAGAACAGTATAAATATCCGTTCAAACTGGCACACAGAAGGCTTTACTAATCTTGAGCCTTGTTTACTAGCCATTAGTAAGTGTTCTAATCTTCCAGTACCCTCCGCGCCATCTTTCTAACCAGGGATTTTGACTCCAAGCCCAGGCCCCCACAAGACAACATCCAGTGTGGACTTTTGGCCCCATGTCGATTTCCAGCAATCGTCAGCTGTTTACTGAGTGGAAGACTCTCAAGTTTAGGAGACTCTAAGCTTCCAGAAAGGCAAGGGGTGCCAACTACGCAATTCTCCCTCCTCCCACCAAAGAATTAAAAACAAGCCAAAAATCCCAAGGACAACGTGACTGACTGGTGGTTCCGTGTTTACTCCACTACGAGGCTATGCGCTCTCTTAAGGGCAGAAAGCAGCTCTCCGTCATCCCTGGGAGGTCCACCACAGTGCCTGAAATCATGTTACTACAGCAGCAACCACAGCAGCACCGTCAATGGGCTCCGTCTGCTGGGCCTCGGTGCCAGGCACCACGCCGAGAACTCGACAAGCATTCGCTCTTGTACGAAGGGATTGCTAAGATCCCTAAGTTACGAATGGAAGAATGAACTCCAGCGAGGAGCAAGGACTTGCCCAAGGTCACTTAGCCAGGACAGTGGCCTGCCTGAAGCAGACCTCGCGCCATGGAGTCAGACTGGCAAGTCATTATAGGACCAAGAGCTCACAAGAGCCCTGTTGGGAAATTTAAAGGCTGTGACGCGCAAAACAGCAAAGCACAATACAAGTCGCTGCTCGATAAGCGGCAGCTGTTACTTTTAATTCTACTGCGCAGCGCGAGAAAATAAGTTAAGGCAGAGACGTGGCAGCAGACAGACCTTCCACGCAGGGCTGGGTACTCCCCCCACCTCAGTCCGGAGGATGTTCCAGGCCGCTCAGTCTCCCTGTCGCCGCCCCCAACCCGATCCTTCTCCCGGAGTCCGGACGCCTGGGTCTCTTTGGAGTCCTTGCTCGCCCGTCCCCTACCACTGCGGGTCTCGCGCACATTATGCTCAACCCTACCTTCTTGTGATAGAGCCGAGCCGGGGCTGACAGCTCCCGGGCGGGCAGGCGCGGGCTCCGGAGCAGCAGGGCCGACGCAGCTCGCCTGAGACGACCCGCGCCAACTGCCGCCATCTTCCGGGGTTGTGTCGGCGCCGGCCAAGAACGAGGCCGGGGGCGGGGCGCGCCCTCCAATTGGGTCCGAGCTTCGGGCGCGCACTCTCTTACGTCACCGTGTCCTCGAGCCTGCGTCCTCCGTACGGGGGCCATTCGCGCTTTGTTTTTCCCCTCCCACTTACACACACGCCTCCACCATGCCTTTCTCCAGGAGGGTGGGGCTGGAAGCCGGAAGGTCCGAATTACCAGGAAAGCAAGTATTGTTGTTGTTGTTATGTGCCCTCGAGTCGGACCGACTCATAGCGACCCCTCCTTGAGTTTCCGAGGCAGTAGCACTAGGTGCTGCGTTGTGGGTAGGAGACTACCTAAAGCTGGAATGAGGGACTGAATGGAATGCGGCGCAGAGGAACACCTAGTCAGCTTTCTCTAAACCTAGTTTGCAGCTGAGGAAGCAGAGCGGGTTAGTAACTTGTCCAGGGTCTCTCATTGTTAGGTACAATTGGTATTCGAATAATCCTGGTTTGGAAGCCGGGTTCTTCTACCCTTTCCTGCCTGTCACTCTAAGCGAATGACATCAGTCGTCTAAGCCGCTTCTTTTCTTGCATTAATTCAAGTAGAACTGTTTCATCCATTTAGCGAATATGTACAATACTGAGCACCTACTATCTGTCAAGGCGCTATCCTAGTCACTGGGGAGCCAATGGAAAAGTTGTTGTTGTTGTTGTCATGTGCCGTGGAGTCGGCCCCGACTCATAGCGACCCCTCCTTGGGTTTCCGAGGCAGTATCACTACGGAAGTAGGATTGCCCAACCTTCCTTCCGAGGAGTGGCTGGTGGGTTTGAACCGCCAGCCGTCTGGTTAGCAGTCAAGTGCTTTAGCCACTATGCTACCAATGGAAAAGAGAACATCTAATTTCCAACATCTAATTCCTTTGTCCCAACAAAGCTTACTAATGAGGAGAAAGGCAAAAAAGAAACACAATACTTTCCTACCTCAAAAATAACAAAAAAAAAAAAGAAACCCCAAAACCAAAAATCCCAAACTCACTGCCAGGGAGTCAATCCCCATTCATAACGACTTCTCCTTGGGTTTTCCAGGCGGTATCTCTACGGAAGTAGATCGCCCAATCTGCCTTCCCAGGAGTGGCTGGTGGGTTTGAACCAGCAGCCTTCTGGTTAGCAGTCAAATGCCTTAGGCACTAGAAGGAAACGAACACTATGCCCTGATTTTATTTTAAAGAGTATATACTTAGGTTTTTATTTCTATTTCTCTCTATATATAGGACAATAGCAAACTATCAAAATTTATATGGCAACGCCTGGTAATTTTCTAAATAAATGCTTAGTAATGTAACTAATTCGTATTAGTTTGCAGAATGTCTTATGAGACCAGAAAACTCATTCGTGCTTTTAACACCTATCAAGTAACCGTGATGGCACAGTGATTAAAGTGCTTGCTGCTAACGAAAAGGTCGGCATTTCCAACCTACCAGCAGCTCCGCTGGAGAAAGAGGAGGCAGTCGGCTTCAGTAAAGATGACAGCCTTGCAAACCTTGTGGGACAGTTCTGCTCTGTCCTATAAGGACTCTGTGAGTCGGAATCGGCTCCCTGGTAACGGGTTTGGTTTTTGGTTTTAGGCACCAGTAATTACATAAGGAGAGGAATCTCTCTGGTAAACAATTTTTCTCGTGAATAGTGCAATCGATCGTTCTTCAAGGACATGGAGTTTTCTCTGCGTTTGGGTCTCGGTTGCTGGGGAGACTGAAGCGCGCTTCAGATCACAATAGGCAGTAATGCATTTATGCTAAGAGTCATTCTGACCTTCTCAAGATGGCGCAAACACTTAACTACAATCATCACGATCACGCCATGACTTCCTCTATGGCCTTCACTTCCTGCCCAAAGACCCAACTTCTGTCTGAAGTTGTGACGGAACACATGAATGTTAATGAGTTTTTTCTCTGACGGGATCTTTTACAAAAATATAAAAGTAATATGAGTTGCATGTATGTAAGATATTTTTCAGTCGTCTGAAGCTCCCAATTTCCACTTAGATGGCAAGGCAGCAGGGGTTTTGATCAGGCGCGCGCCGCGGGCAGCTTCTACTTCAGGCGGTCTTCGGCGGCCGAACGAAGGACCCGAGTCACTGGAGGAGCAAAATGGCGACAACGGCTGCATCCTCCGCCTCAGAACCGGAGCCTGAGCCCAAGATTGGACCCACAGTTGTGTCCAAAGTCGAAGGAGAGGAGGATGAGATTAAGGATACTAGGACGAGGAGGAAGGTGTTATCGCGGGCTGTGGCTGCTGCGACGTACAAGACCGTAGGGCCCGGGTGGGATCCGCAAGAGGAAGGCGTGAGTGAGAGCGATGGAGATGAAGACTACGCCATGGCTTCTTCCGCTGAGAGCTCTCCCGGAGAGTACGAGTGGGAGTACGACGAAGAAGAGGAGAAGAACCAGCTGGAGATCGAGCGGTTAGAGGAGCAGGTGAGCGCCGGGTGGGCAGCGGGCACCTGCCCTCAGCCTCTAGGCCCCGGCCTGCTCCTGTGCAGACGGGACCGGGGATGCTACCCTGATGCTCAGCAGTAATAAAGCCGCCAATGCCGCGAAACCGTTACTAATCATTGCATTTTCCATCATTTGAGCGCTTATTGCGTGCTCAGCGCTTTGCTAGCGTTATCCCATTGAATCCTTGCAACGACCCAGTGAAGGAAGTGATGTTATCTCTGTTCCCCGGGGGAATACTGAGGTTCGTGGGAGTCCCTTCGCAAGATTACACATCTTGCAAGTAGAGAGTCAGACTTTGAACTGACTCTGGAACTCCCACGCTTAGCCCAGACTGAAACTATATCCAGCGGTGAAAAGAAATCGTACTTGTAAGAGAGCTCTGGTAGCATAGTGGCTAAGGCACTTGACTGCTAACCAGAAGGCTGGCGGTTCAAACCCACCAGCCACTCCTCGGAAGGAAGGTTGGGCAATCCTACTTCCGTAGTGATACTGCCTCGGAAACCCAAGGAGGGGTCGCTATGAGTCAGGGCTGACTCGACGGCACATAACAACAACAACAACAACAACAACAACAAAAGAGAGCATTATGTTCTTGCAGGAGTGACGATGGTGATGAAATACGGTGTAGTCGGAAAAACACTGACGTGGCGAGGAAAATAGAAACGGGAAGAGACTGGCCAGTTGGAGGCTCAAACGCCAGTTCTAGTTGTTTCACACCTGTGCATGCTTGGGTGCATTTCCTAAATTCTCCGAGCTTCTGCTGCTTTATCTGTAAATTAAGAGCAACGATTCCTGCCTCATAAAATTGTCATAATAGCAGTGACAGCCCTGTGCCTGGCACCTAGTAGGAGTAATCTGTAAAACAAGTTTGGGAGATATAGGTGGTGTAGGCCAGGGGCCCAGCAGGAAGTAGATAGGTGGCACATTCCGATTAGGAGAATTTGGGAAAAGGTTGATAAAGGGATTACTGTGTTTCTAAAAGTGTGGACGGGAGACTCAGAAGTAAAGCTTAGTACTCCACGTCTGGGAACATAGGACTTGGTGTCCACCTTTAGGCCTGAAATGGTGTGAGTAGTTGTGTGGGGACAGCATCTGAGAGGAGCTGGCACCTTTGGTCAAAAGGCGCAGCCTGCTGTTTCCCACCGGGGAAGGAAGCAGGTGGAGGAAGAAATACCCTCATCTCCCTCTCTTCCTCCAAATCTCTGGTGGTGTCTCCCATTGGGCAACATTGGGCAAATCCAGCTGGAAGCCAGAGAGCCCTGTTGGTGTGCACCGCACAGGGCAGGGAGGGGAGGGTGGAGTGGAATTGGAAGGGCAAACCAAAGATATGGACCACAGTTTTCATTTTACAGATGAGGAAAATGAGGCTCAGAACAAACGCTGAAATGATTTGCTCAGACTCACTCAAAGTGGGATTTGAGCTCTTCAGGGTTGCCTGTGGACTAGATGTCACATTGGATTCCCCCTTCTGGTACTGTATTTTTATTAAATTATGAAAGTGATGTCCATGGGTAAAGCTTTTCCACTTGTCATGGAGTCTGATTTTCAAAAGAGCCGACTGGGGTAGACAGGTGTGACCATTTCTCCTTTTTACAAATAAGTATGCTGCAGTTCATTCAGTCTTTTAGTTATTTAGCAGATGCAGTGTGACACACAGTGTGCCAGTCTGACTGTGCTTCTGTCTATACGGAAATCAGTACTTGAGACTTCTAGCCTTAAGCCTTTTGAAGAACCTTTAGCTCACTTTGACCTGACTGTTTTATGAGGTAGGGAGAATAGAATCATCTGTTTCAGTAGTTAGAGGCGGCTTGGGACCAAGAGGTTAAGTCCTTGATGAAGATACACAGCTTACTGGTGGAGGAGGAGGGGTTAGAGTAGAAGTCTGCTGGCTGCTAGTGCTTTATAGGCTCTGCCTGCCCTGCCTCTGGTCATAGGTGAGGATGAGTGAGATAGAGCTCGGAAGGGGACCTGGCAAGATGGTTAACTACAGGGCTTCTGGCCTTATCCTCTTTGTTCTGAGGTCTAGAAATTCACCTTTCCAGTTTTTCCAAACTTCCTTTCTACCTGCTCCTAATCCCATACTCTAGTTCTTGCTATAACTGTCTTATGATGGAACACAATAATGAGTAACGTTCTTCTTTCTTTTCTTTTTAAACTTTTTATTGTGATTTGGGTGAAAGTTTACAGAGCAAATTAATTTTCCATTCAACAGCTCATACACATTTTGTTTCCTGACATTGACTAATCCCCACAGTGTAACAGCTCTTCCCTCTTCCTCCCTGTGATCACTTTTCCCGTGTCCTCCTCTCCTTTGTATTCCTGCCTTCTGAGCTTTCTCCCTGCACAAGTGCTGCCCTTCTGATTTCCCATGGTTGATTGTTCTAAGGAGTGCACCTCCCTTGTGTAGTTCTTCTGGTAGGTCTGTCTTCTTGGCCGAAGGTTAAGGCATGGGAGTGAGCTCTATTCCATGTCCAAAGGGTGACTAGGGGCCATAGTTTTGGGAGTTTCAGCAGTCTCTTTCAGACCAGTACTCCTACTCTTTTTTATGACTTTGAGTTTTGTTCCACATTTTTCCCCCACTCTGTCCAGGATCTCCAATTTTGATCTCTTTCCAAGTAGTTGGCAGTGGTGGCCGGGTACCATCTAGTTCTTCTGGTTTAAGCGTTGTGTATGCAGAGGTTCCCATGGTCCACTAGTCCTTTGGACTAATTGTTCCCATGTGACTTTGATTTTCTACACTCTTCTTTGCAACCAGTAGTTGTATCTTAGATGGCCAGTCAGAAGCTTTTAAGACCTCAGTCACTACTCACCAAAGTAGGATGTAGAACAATGTTTTTGTGTACTGTGTTGTGCCAGTTGAGCTTGATGTCCCGTGCAACCATGGTCCCGAGGTAGGCCTGGCAACTCACTCCCTCAAAGTCTTTGGTGTGGCCAAGAAGTTACCATAATTTACCCTGTTAGCTCCACTGTTTAAACCAGAAAAACCAAACTCATTGCCATGGAGTCAAATCCAATTCATAGTGACCCCTCCTTGGGTTTCCGAGGCAGTATCACTATGGGAGTAGATTGCCCAACCTTCCTTCTGAGGAGTGGCTGGTGGGTTTGAACCACCAGCCTTCTGGTTAGCAGTTACGTGCCTTAGGCACTACGCCACCAGAGCTCCTGCTCCAGAATATACATGGGCATTTTTATAGCACATACACATATATATGTAGAAATATTGTCTGCTAAACCTGTGTATATGTTCCTGTTTGCTTACCCATACTTGATCATCTGCCTGTCTACCTGTGTATGTCTGTCATTACTGATAATGTAGAATTGCATATGTAATAGTGTTTACCTTTGTTGTGTGTACCTCTTGTGCTCCTCTTTGTGTATACCTTTTCCTTAGTGATGCTGTGCTGGTCCACCAGCCACTCCTCGGAAGGAAGGTTGGGCAATCCTACTTCCGTAGTGATGCTGCCTCGGAAACCCAACAAGGGGTCGCTATGAGTCGGGGCTGACTCGACGGCATATAACAACAACACTGTGCTGGTGACCTGCTTATGGTATATTGCCTTTCCCTTTATCCAAATCAAGACGTGTCTTTTGCTGAGCTAGCAGTTTTCCCTCTCCTCTCTGGTAACCAAGAAAGAAAGTTTCATGTGTACATTTTTCCTTGACTTTTTATAACAGTGGACTCACATAATATTTGTCCTTCTGTGATTGACTTATTTCACTTAGCATCATGTCCGCCATCTCATCTCCTCATCTCTTTCCTCCGTTTATGGGCACTTAGGTTGTTTCTGGAGCTCTGGTGGCATAGTGCCTAAGGCACTTGACTGCTAACCAGAAGGCTGGTGATTCAAACTACCTTCCACTCCTTGGAAGGAAGATTGGGCAATCTACTTCTGTAGTGATACTGCCTTGGAAACCCAAGGAGGGGTTGCTATGAGTTGAAATCGACTCAACAGCATTGAGTTCAGTGGTTTTTTTTTATTTTTGGGAGGTTATTTCCATCTTTTTGCTGTTGTGAATAGGGCTGCGATGAACATGGGTGTGTGCATATCTCTTTGCGTCCTAGCTCTCACTTCTTTAGGATATATACCTGGTGGTGGGATTGCTGGATCAAATGGTATTTCTATTTCCAACTTTTTAAGGAAGCACATACTGTTTTCCACAGTGGTTGTACATTTTACGGTCCTACCAGCAGTATATGAGAGTTCCTTTCTCTTCATACCCTCACCAACATTTGTTGTTTCCTGTCTTGTTGAACTTTGCTTTTAAATTGCTGGGGTGAGATGATATCTTGTTGTTCTGATGCACATCTCTCTAATGGCTAATGATTGTGAGCATTTCTTCATGTGTTTGTAGACTGCCTGAATATTTTTTTGGTCAAGTGTCTGTTCATGCCCTCTGTCCATTTTTCAATTGGGTTGTTTGTCTTTTTGATGTTTAGTTGTTGAAGTTTTCTGTAAATTTTAGAGGTAAGTTCCTTGTTAGAGACATCATTGCCAGACATTTTTTTGGTTCTCTTTTTACTGTTTTAAGAAGCCTTTTGTTGCACATAAGAATTTAATTTTTAGAAGGTCCCAGTCTTCTGCTGTTTGTGTATTTTTGGTTATGTTGGCTAGTCTATTTATGCCATAAATTAAGGCCCCTAAGTTTGCACCTATTTTTTCTTTGAGATCTTTATAGTTTTAGGTTGAACAATTTAGGTCTTTGATCTGATGAATGTCTTTCAAACAGGCTTTTGAAAACCTTGTCCTGCAGTACTGGCAAGCTCCAGACACCTGCATGGGTTTATATTCTTTCCTTTGCTGTTTAGGATGTTTTGTTCTTTTTCTAGTTTCTTGAGGTAGGAACCTAGGTTATTGATTTGAGACTTTTCCTCTTTTCCAATAAGAGGGTTAAGTTCTATAATTTCCCTCTCAGTGCTGTATCCCACCTGTCTTGATAGGTTCTGTTTTAATTTTCATTCACTCCTGTGTAATTAAAATTTTCTTTTCTTTGAGTCTTTCTGTTTGATCCATATATTGTTTAGAAGTGTATTCTTAATTCCAAATATTTAGAGATTTTCATATTGTCTTTGCTGTTGATTTTTAGTTTGATTCTTTTGTGGTCAGAAAGCATACTCTGTATCATTTCAGTCCTTTTGGATTTGTTGAGGTTTCTATTTTAGCCCAGGATATGGTGTCTCTTAGTGAATGTTCCAGGGACACTTGGAAAAAATGTGTGTTGTGCTTCTGTTGGCTGGAGTGTTCTCTTTGTGTCTATTAGGTCCTGTTGGTTGATAGTATTGTTGAGTTCTTTGATATCCTTGATGATTGTCTGTATAGTAGTTTTATCAGTTGCCAGGAGTTCCTCAGTGGTGCAAACAGTTAATGTGCTTGGCTGCTAACTAAAATGTTAGAGGTTCAAGTCCACTCAGAGGCACCTTAGAAGAAAGGCCTGGTGATCTACGTCTGAAAAATCAGCCATTGAAAGTTCTGCGGAGCCCAGTTCCATTCTGACACACATGGGGCACCATGAGTTGTAATCAGCTCAAAGGCAGTTGGTACTGGTATCTGTTGCTTGGGGGAGGGTGTTGAAGTCCTCAAATATAATTGTGGGTATGTTTATTTGTCTTTTCATCTCTATCCATTTTTGCTTCATGTGTTTTGAGGCTCTATTGCATGGGGTCACCATTGGAGGTTTTTTGTTGGTAAATGCACATTTAGAATTATTAGGTCTTTTTGGTGGATTGATCCTTTTATTTCTATGTAATATTTCTTTTTATGTCTAGTAATTTTCTTTGCTATGAAATCTACTTTATGTAATATTAGTATAGCCATTTCTTTTTTTGATTAATGTTTGCTTGGTTTAACTGTAAAAGGAACCCTAGTAGTGCAGTGATTAAAGCACTTGGCTGCCAACCAGCTAGTGCCAGTTTGTACCCACCAGTTGTTCCATGGGGGAAAGACCTGGCAGTCTGCTTCAATAAAAATTTTACAGCCTTGGAAACCCTATAGGGCACTTCTGCTGTGTCCTGTAGGGTCATGATGAGTTGGAATCAACTTGATGGTAGTGAGTTTAGGTGGGTGAGGTGGTACATCTTTTTCCATTCTTTTAATTTCAACTGATTACCAGAAACTCGCTTCCCATTCAACATGTCGTGAATGAATGAATGAATCTCATTGTCGTCAAGTGGATCTCAACTTATAGTGACCCCTTCTTGGGTTTCTGAGGTGGTCTCTCTACGGAAGTAGATGCCCTGTCTTCTTCCAGCAAACTGGACACCCCCTCCAGAGTTAGTTTCCTGTGCACACTGAGCACATTATATGCAGGTGCTCATGAGTTATATGGGCACATTATATGTGAAAAATACTATACTCTCTGTCTCCTCCCTCCCTATCCTTCACACACAGGCATGCATATGTATCCAGATAATTTAATTTTCTTCCCCAATGTTGCATCCCTATCTGGTGGTGCAGTGCCTAAGGCATTTGACTAGTAGCCATAAGGCTGGCGGTTCAAACCCACCAGCCACTCCTCGGAAGGAAGACTGGGCAATCTACTCCCATAGAGATACCACCTCTGAAACCCAAGGAGGGGTTGCTATGAGTCAAAGTCGACTGGATGACAGTGAGATTCATTCATTCATGAGATGTTAAATATGAAGTGAGTTTCTGGTAATCAGCATATAGTTAGGTTGTGTTTTTTTAATCCACTCTGCCATTCTGTGTCTTTTGATTAGTGTATTTAGACCATTTAATGGTAATTGTTGAAATATTAGGAGCTCTGGTGGCACAGTGGTTAAGGCATTTGGCTACTAACCAAAAGGTTGGTGGCTTGAACCCACCAGCTACTCTCCAGGAGAAAGATAAGGCAATCTGCTTTTGCAAAGGTTTAAAGCCTTAGAAACCCTGTGGGGCAGTTCTGCTCTGTCCTGTGGGGTCACTATGAGTTGGAATCAGCTTGATAGCAGTGGGCTAGTTTTTGGTTTGTTGAAGTATTAGATCTTAAACCTTTTATTATTTCTGTTTCTCATTCTTTTTCCTTTTTCTTGCTTTCCTATGGATTACTTCCACCATTTTTTAGGATTCCATTTTGATTTATTTAAAATGCTTCTGAATGTTTTTCTTTGTATGGTTTTCTTTTCTGGGTATTACAATACACATATTTCACTTATTACAATCTCCTGGTGTTTTACCACTTCAAATGAGACATGGAGACCTTACTTCTATTTAAGTAACGAGCCCTGATGGCATAGTGTGGGTAAGGCATTTCGCTGCTAACCAGAAGGTTGGCGGTTCAAACCTACCAGCTGCACCATGGGAGGAAGATGAGGTAATCTACTTCAGTAAAGATTAATAGCCTTGGAAACCTAGTGGGAATCACTGTGAATCAGAATCGACTCAATGGCAGTGGGCAAAGATCCTTTACCTTCCCGCTTCTAAATATTGCCCTGTGTGTCAGGTGCTCTTACAGTTTTTGTTTATCATCCCATATGATTTAGAAAACTCGTGAGGAGAAGGATCATCTTCGTAGTTAACCCATAGTTCATCTCTTTCTGTTGTCCATTCTTCTTTGCTGGTGTTCCAAGATTCCTTTTTTTTTTTTAATCATTTCCTTCCTGTTTGAAGAACTCCTTTAGCTGTTGTTTAAGAGTAAATCTGCTAGTGACAAATTCTGTTAAGTTTCCTGTGTTTCAGATATATGATAGCTTTTAGTGTGTGTGGTAAAGATATATGTAATGAAACATCTGACATTTCAACAGTCTTCACACATATAGTTCAGTGATGTTAATTATGTACATCATGTTGTTCAACCATCTCCCTTAATATGTTCTGAGTTACACCATCAACGCTTAACAGAGCCCAGTGTTTCCTAAGCATTGAGTTCACTTTTCCCCCCTTTCTTTCTCACATCCCTGGTAACCATTGATAAACTTTGGCTATTCTAGATGTTTCATGTAAGTGTGATCATACCATATTTGTCCTTTCATGACTGACTGATTTCACTCAGTATGATGTTTTCAAGGTTCATCCTTTGTATGATAACTTTATAAAAAGTTATTTAAATTTATTATAATATTTATTTTGAGAAGTTTGAAGCAGAAAAACAAGCTTTTGTATACATATCACTCAGCTTCAACAGATACCAGTCTTTTGCTGTTCTTATTTCTCCAATAGGAGTTTTCATCTGTGTTTTTTTGTTGTTTATTTAGTAAAATAAAAATTCTTGCTATGCCTCAGTGTTGTGCTAAGGAGCTTACAAAATTACTATTTTTAATCCTCACAACAAACTCATGAACTAGGAATTAGTAGTATTCCCATTTCATAGATGAGAAAATGGAGGCTCAGAAAAGTTAATAACTGGTGTAAGGACACATACTCTTTGTTTCCTTAGAATGCCATTTTTATTAGAGAGAACCACAGTGTGCTGTATTGGGAATCATAACAGATTTGAGGAAGCTTTATGTTTACTAGGAGCTCTGGTGGTGTAGTGCCTAAGGCATTTGACTGCTAACCACAAGGCTGGTTGTTCAAACCCACCAGCCACTCCTTGGAAGGAAGACTGGGCAATCTACTTCTGTTGAGATACTGCTTTAGAAACCAAGGAATTGTCGCTGTGAGTTGGAGTTGACTTGACGGCAGTGAGTTTGGTGTTTGGTTTTACGTCTACTATAAAAAGCCTCTTCTTTCATCCTTTTGTCTTCCTCTTCCTGAGGGTAATTTCTGCACTGCTGTTTCACCGGCTCTCCCAGTTAGTATATTTATTGTGTTTGTGAAAGATATGTGCATTATCACTAGTGGTGACGGAAACCAAGTTATTTTGATGATGGCATTTAAATTTCAGCTGTTGTTTCTTTTCTTCTAGCTGTCTATCAACGTCTATGACTACAACTGCCACGTGGACCTGATCAGGCTGCTTCGACTGGAAGGGGAGCTCACCAAAGTGAGAATGGCTCGTCAGAAGATGAGTGAGATCTTTCCTTTGACTGAAGGTAATGTGCCAGCAGACTGCTTTTCTAAACACAGAGTTGAGGAGTGATGATTTTTTTCAATGCTGCAAGTGGGGCATGCTGCTTATAGAAAATTTGAATAGTTTAGTATAGTGGAAGCAGGGCACCCATCATTCAGAGTCACTGCTGTTTAGTACGTCATCTTGTGTTTGTAGTTGTAGGCATACAACAGTGATTGACATTCTGAATCCTGACTGTGTTATCATACATTATGACAAAAATTCCATCATTTATGTATTTAATCTGTTTTCTCAGAACCAGAGCATTGTTAATAAATAATAATTCAGTTTTTGTAAGTAAATTTTAATGTAAATATCTGATACCTTAATTTTTCCATAAAGTTGGACATTTAGGTTGAGTCTACTTATTTGCATGTTAGAAACTAGTTGTTGAGCATCTTCATAGTTATATCCTCATGAGGATCTGGAACTGATATTTTGGGTAGGAGTCAGAAAACCTTGATCCTAGGTCCAGCTCTGCCCTTTTCCCCCTTCTCCTCCAAGCCTAATTGCTGAGTGGGACTCCGATTGCCTGATTCATGCCTGGCCTCACTGCTTACTTCTTGCATGACCTGAAGCAACTTATATCTGCATTCTAAGAGTTAGTTTTCCCAGCAGTAAATTCTGGGTAATAATAGTTTCTGCCTTACAGTGCATAGGTTAGATGAGCCACTCTATGGACAAGACTGAAAACATGCCTGGCATGTCATAAATGCTTAGATGGATGCCCTTGACATTGAGGTTACTAGCACTTGCCTTAGAGGATTGTGGTAAAAGTTCAATGAGAAAATACGTACAAATGCTTGGCAAAATATAAAATGCCCAACAGGTCTAAGGTGTGATTTTGGTGAGCTGATCTTATTTGGAAGCATAAAACCTTCTGTGTGCTTGGTTCAGGCACACAGAAAACGTGTGTTGGAAAATGTAAAAATGGAGTTGCCATGAACTGTGCCAGGGGTATGAGGAGGGGAAAAGGTTTGTATGCTTTGCCTCTTGGTAAAGTCCCCTGCCTCCCTCCTGAGGGCAGTGGTAATGCAGGGTCTCTTGTCTTACAGAGCTCTGGCTGGAGTGGTTGCACGACGAGATCAGCATGGCCCTGGATGGCCTGGACAGGGAGCATGTGTACGAACTCTTTGAGAAGGCTGTGAAGGATTACATTTGTAAGTTCCCTGCAGGCTCTCCCCTGGGCTCCACCTTTCCGGCTCTATCTAGCATCACTCTCTGCTGTTGTGGATTGTGCTGTGAGATGCTGCTACGCAGAAAGTGGAGCACTATTCCAGACTCTAGAAAGATTTGAGTTCAGTTATTTTTATCCTTGTCTGTGGTCTTCAGGTGAGGCGATTTGGCTTTAAATTAGAAATTGGAAGGAATGTTTGCAGAGGTGGAATAACTATAATCACATCTAGTATTTATCTTCTCGGGGAGAAATTACATTGTGTTTCTAGGTGGTTAACGGTTACCTTTTACACATTGGATAGCTTTAAGAGGTTTTGGACAGATTATTTTTTTTTAAATATAAAAAACTTTTTAAAAAACTTTTTTACATTGAAATAATTACAGATTCAGAAGTAGTTGCAAAAACAGTACAGAGAAGTCCTGTGTACTCACTTTTTCCAGCTTTCCCCAGTGGTCAGGCCATTGTCTTACTCTCACTTAGGGCCTCAGACCTGGTAACTAGCTCCTTTCCATTTTTATTTGAAGTCCGTATAGCAGCCTTATACTGATGAGCAAAACAGAGTTAACTAGCAAACTTGGGCTGCAAAAAATGCAAATGCAACCACTGCCGTGGAGTTGGATCCGACTCATAGCAACCCCTCCTTCGGTTTCTAAGGCAGTATCACTGTGGAAGTAGATTGCCCAACCTTCCTTCTGAGGAGTGGCTGGTGGGTTTGAACCACTAGCCTTCTGGTTAGCATTCAAATGCCTTAGGTACTACACCATTGAAATAGGTTTCGTAATGAAAAGCAAGCCTCAGGAAAACATGTAATTCCCAAATCAGTCTCTTGATCTTTTTGGTATCTTTATTTTAAAAGGTTAGTGTATAGACCTCTGAAATTATTTTCTAGTCCCTGTAAAGTGACTTAATAGGCAAAAATTTTATTGTAAGAATCAGTGCATTCAGAAAGAATGTAATTCGTTAGACTGGCCTTAAAGCCATGGGGATGAGTATGTAAGAGGCAAACGAAAGTGAAGGGACCAAAGAAGGCAACTGAGGTCTTATTAGTATTATTTTGCTTAAATATCATTAAAAATCTATACTTCAAATAGATTTTTGATAATAGGGGAGCTCTGGTGGTGTAGTATCTAAGGCATTTGACTACTACCAGAAGGCTGGCAGTTAAAACCCATCAGCCACTCCTCGGAAGGAAGGTTGGGCAGTCTACTTCCGAAGAGATGCTGTCTTAGAAACCCAAGAAGGGGTTGCTATGAGTTGGATCCAGCTCGACGGCAGTGCGTAAGTTAGTGATACTAGGATTGGTGATTTTAGTTTTGTTTTTTCACTTTGACCAGAAGGCTTAAACATGAATCAAGGTTCAGAAGTTGCAAAATTCTAGGCTTTAAAATCATTCTGAAGGTTGACTTCAATTTATAACTATTTTCATTGACATCCATTATTTGATTCCTTCAGTTTTCGTAAATAAGCTTTATACTTACGGTTCTTAAGAATTACTACCTGGGATATGCTGTCAGTGAGCCTGGTGGCACAGTGGTTATGTGCTTGGTTGCTAACTGAAACCCACTTCTCCCTGAGAGAAAGATGTGACATTCTGCTTCTGTAAAGGTTTGTGGCCTTGGAAACCCTATAGGACAATTCTACTCTGTCCTGTAGAGTTGCTATGAGTCATAATTGACTTGATGGCAGTGGGTTTATGTGCCGTTGATGCAGTGATGGTGCAGTGGTTATTTGCTTGGTGGGAACATTGTTCAGATGTTTCTTTCAGGCTGCGAGAGTAGACTAGGTGAGTTGCAATTGTTGCTGATGATGTTCTGAGCTTTTTGCATGGATTAGTACAGTTTTGGTGGATCAGTTTCTTTTCTCATGCAACAGTTTTGATTTTGGGTACTTTATATCCAGAACTAAGAGAACGTTTCTCATTTTTAGGTCCTAACATTTGGCTGGAGTACGGCCAATACTCAGTCGGTGGGATTGGCCAGAAGGGTGGTCTTGAGAAAGTGCGCTCTGTGTTTGAAAGGGCTCTCTCGTCCGTCGGTTTACACATGACCAAAGGCCTCGCCATATGGGAGGCTTATCGAGAATTTGAAAGTGCGATCGTGGAAGCTGCTCGGGTAAGTGCCTGTGTCTGTGCCCTGTGCGTGTATCTGAATATGCAAGGGCTGTCTTCTTAAGTAGTTTTGAAAGTATCTTGTGACAAAATGTCACAAGTTGAGTTTAATAGCCGTAACAGTTCACAAGATGGTTTTCTCCAGCCTCTTAGTGGGTGAGTAGTAAAATCAGTAGTTTTTATGAAGATTGAGTTCTTTGACTTAAAAACAAGTGACCCTGCAATTTATTTTCTGATATTTAATAATACTGTAAGTTAAATTGCTTACGTGGTGGTTCCAGATGAATGTACTGTGAATGTATATGTGAATGACCTCTTTCAAAATACCATGTATCCTTGTAACTGAGAGGAGGCTTGACTCCATTGCATTTTTTAGACTAATTTGTAGACTTTTACAGCAGCAGCCCTCTTGATGTGTTTGCGTGTGCATGTAGTTACACCATTGTCCTTAAAGTAGTCCCAGTCGCATCTTGATTACTTCCCTGTTCAGTGTTCTGCAGTCGTGCCTCCACTCACCCCTGAATTTAGACATCATGTCAGCTTCCTTTGCCTGACATTTGTGGCCTCGCTAGTGTGCTAGTGTCAGATAAGATTCCAGATAAGATTCCTACGTGGACTCTGCTCCCCACTGTCTGACCTCCTGCCTGGCTGTTGAACATTTTTGCCACTGTGCTTCTACTCTGGCTGTTCATTCACTGGGAGACTGTGGACTCTTCCCAAATGCCAGCTCCTCCAGGAGTTGTTCCTGACCCTCCGTAGCAACAAAACTCACCCCTAGAGCTGTGATCTGTTCTTGGAAACTGTGCAGTAATATGATACTTTGCTTTTATGGTACTCCTATTGTACTATAGCCACTTGGATACATTTGTTTCATCCATTTATCCATTTATTTTCATCATTATTTCCTCCATAATAGAAACACTTAGAGGCAGAGTTAGCATTTATTTTTGCACCCCTTGTATTAATTGGCATAATACCTCATGCATAAGAGGGCGTATACATTTTTTCAGTTTGAGGTGAAATTATAATGAAAATTTTTTGAAGTAGGAAGAACCAAAGTTTGTCATTTACTACTAATTTGCTTCTTTAGCCCATAGCTGGCTTCCTTTCCCCTTTTGACCGGGAACAAACCTTTGATTCACAGCTTGAGAAAGTCCACAGTCTCTTCCGGCGGCAGTTGGCGATCCCACTCTGTGGTAAGAGAAATTGACATGTCACCGTCGTTTTCAGAAGGCTTTGGGGTATGTCATATAATCAGCCCACTCACAACATCCGTGAGCAAGAAAGGGTGGTGTTCTCATCCTCACTGGGCTACTCCCTCTGGGCAAGCGTCTTGGTAAAAAGTTACCTTGAATTGTTAAATGGTGGGAGAGGGTTGTATGAGTCAGAGGCCTGACTTCTTGACTCCTGTTGGAATGGGGGAGTTAAGTTCTCTGAAAGGAAGAGTGAAAGTTAACATTTTCCATTTTTGAGGAAACTTAATTGTGTATGAGTTCTGCTATTGAGCTGCTCTCTTAAGGAGTAACCACTGTCACAACAAAGTGGGGTATTTACCTGGGCTCTTATCATCCTCTGTGAGGGTTGATTTGCATGAATATAGTTCTGTCTGAATATCTTGGGGTATGATGAATATAGTTTGGCAAGCCTTTGTGGCTCTGAAGCTGTGAGCATGTGCAGTGCTGGGGGAGTTTTTGGAGTTTGGCAAGAGTTGGGCACTGCCATCTTATTTTTCCCCAAGGCATGATCCTATAGTGTATGCTCTCAGAAGCTCTGGGCAACTTCACTGGAGTCCAGCTGTTGTTTCTTTTTTACCTCATGGCTTATTTGGATTTGATTGAACAAATTACAAAGTGGCTGTCCAATTGAACACTTGGGTGACATGCAGAAAACGCTAGAACTGAGCTGATTGGTAGATTTCCTCTCATACACCAACGTGAGGCCACGTAACATAGTGATTAGAGCATGAACTTGAGTGAGACAGCAGAGTTCAAATCCTTGCTCTACCACTAACTGTAGACAAGTGACTTGATCTCCTTGTGCTTCAGTTTCCTTAGCTGCAAATCAGGGGCTGTTAGCAGACCTAACTCCTAGAGCGTGAGTGTGAGGATCAAATGAACTCAAGTATGTGATGTGTTAGAACACGGGAAGTACTACCTCAATTGTCTAGTGTGAGTAGCGTTGCTTGGGACAGTGCTTTGAGACAGATTCTAAGGCCAGGTCTGGGCTCAGCAGAAGAGCTCAGGCTCTGATCCCAAGAGCTGCCCTGACCACGTGGGGGTGGGGCGGCGGCTGAGTCTCATGGTTAATCTATGTTTGGTTTGTTAAAACCCATTGACAACACCCATGGGGCTGACTCCATCTTTCAATAGATATGGAGGCCACATTTGCAGAGTATGAAGAATGGTCAGAAGATCCAATACCAGAGTCGGTAATCCAGAACTATCACAAAGCACTACAGCAGCTGGAGAAGTACAAACCCTATGAGGACGCACTGGTAAGGGTTGGCTTCTCTGATAATAAACTTCTCCCTGTGCTTTTTCTCGTCAGTAGTTGCAAAATAAAATGATATCTTTAAAATTTGTTTTCATGTGAATTATGCAGAATATTTAAATGTATGCATATCATTTACATAATAAATAATAAACTTCTCATACTCATCACCTCAGGTGAAGAAATAGAACATTGTTAGTTCCTTAGATGCTCCTGTGTGCCACTTTCCTATTGTCTCCTCCTCCCTCCCTTGAGAGGGAATCACTTTCTTGACTTTTGTGGTAATCATTCCCTTGCTTTTCTTTGTAGTTTTACAACCTGTGAAGTATTCGTACTTAATACATTGTTTAATTTCACTTGTTTTTGAACTTTCATATAGTGGAATCATGCTGTATATTTTCTTTCATTCACCATGTTTTTTGGGTTTTATTCATGTTAATAAGTATAGTTGCACTTCATTTGTTTTCACTGATGTAAAGCTGTCTATATCCCACAATTTATTTATCCTTGTTGAGCAATAGTTGGGTGGGCAGCATTGCTGTGCACATCCTTGGGCATATTTTCATGAAGATGCTTCTCTAGTGTATATACCCAGGAAGGAAAGTGCTGGGTGGTAGGATCCTCTAAATGGTTTTCCAGGCTGTCAAATTACAATCCCACCTGAGGGTTCCTTTTGTTCTTGCAAACCTTGGATATTTACATACTTAAATTTTATTCAGTCAGTCGTGTTTGAAATGGTGCTTCATTTTAGTTTTAATTTGCATTTTCTTTATTGCTAATGAAGGAGCTCTGGTGGCACTGTGGTTAAAGCTTTGGGCTACTAACCAAAAAGTTGGTGGTTTGAACCCACCAGCTTTCCATGGGAGAGGCAGTCTGCTTCTGTAAAGATTTACAGCGTTGGAACCTGTGTAGGCAGTTCTACCCTGTCCCTGTAGGGTTGCTGTGAGTTGGAATCGACTTGATGGCAGTGGGTTTGGTTTGGTTTTTGGTTATTACTAATGAGGTTGAGCATCTTTTCATGTCTGTTGGCTGTTTGGATTTCCTTTTTGGTGAAGTGCATACTCAAGCTTTGACCCATTTTTCTTTTGGTTTGTCTTTTCTAACTGATTCTGGGAGTTCTGGATATGAATCCCTGTTTTTAATTATATCTTTCACAATGTGTTTCCCCCCTAGTTTGTGGCTTATCTTTGCACTTTTTAAAATTGTGTCTTTTGGTGAACAGCTCTTACGTTTAATGTAACTGGATTTAATTTTTCCCTGATGGTTTCTGTTTTTGTTGTGCTTATTTAAGGAATCTCAATATACAGACATACCTCGTCCCTTCACTTTAGGGTGCCTTGCAGATACTGCCTTTTTTACAAATTAAGGGTTTGTGGCAACCCTTTGTTGAACAAGTCCCTTGGCACCGTTTTTCCAACAGCATGTGCTCTCTTCATGTCTCTGTCACATTTTGGTAATTCTCACCATATTTCAGACTCTTTTCATAATGCTTAATGCATATTGTATACTTAATAGACTACAATATAGTGCATACATAACTTTTATATGCACCAGGAAACCAGAAAGGTGTGTGACTTGCTTTATTGCAATATTCACTTTATTGCGGTGGTCTAGAACCAAACCTGCAATATCTCCAACGTATGCCTGTAGTTAGCTCTGCTTTCTTCTAAAAGTTTTTGTTGTTCCCATTTAGGTCTTCATCCACCTGGGTTCGATTTTTGTCCACTTTTATTTTTCCATATAGAGAACCAGGGGTTCCAGCACCAATTTTGATAAGTCTATCCTTCCTTCACTGATGTGCAGCTGCACACCTGTCATAGGTCAGCTGTTCATGTATGTGTGGGTCTATTTCTGGGCTTTCTGTGCCCTTCCACAGGTTTTTATCAGACTATCTTAGTAAGCTTTGATCTTGGGTAGGATGAGTTCCCCCCACATTACTCTTCCACAAAGAGAGTCTTGGCTGCCTCTCACCCTCCTTAATGTTTCCCTTTCAATGTTCTATTAAACTTGTTTTTAAGTTCTATTAAACAAAAGTGCAATGTTGAACTTTTTATTGGAATGGCATTAAATCCACAGATCAATTTGGGGAAGCAGTTATATATTTAAAATACTGAATCTATTAATCCATGAACAAGGTCTAGGTGTCTATTGCATAAGTCTTCTTACTTTTCTCTAAATTTCATAAATTTATCCAGTGTCTTGAACCCTTTGTTAGATGGAATTTTAAGTAGTTTTTGATGCTATTGTAAATGATGTCTTTTAAAATATTTTATTTTTTAGTTCCTAGTATATGAAATGCGGTGGGTTTTCTATATTTGTTTTTTTATCTATCACACTTGTTAAATTCTTACTAATATTAAGGAGCTTTGGTGGCATAGTGCCTAAGGCATTTGACTGCTAACCAGGAGGCTGGCGGTTCAAACCCACCAGGCACTCCTCGGAAGGAAGATTGGTCATTCAACTTCCATAGAGATGATGTTGTTGTTGTTTGCCGTCGAGTCGGCCCCGACTCATAGCGACCCCTCCTTGGGTTTCCGAGGCAGTATTACTACGAAAGTAGGATTGCCCAACCTTCCTTCTGAGGAGTGGCTGGTGGGTTTGAACTGCCAGCCTTCTGGTGAGCAGTCAAGTGCCTTAGGCACTATGCTACCAGAGCTCCTATCCATAGAGATAATGCCTCAGAAACCCAAGGAGGGTCGCTATGAATTGAATCGACTGGACGGCATTGAGTTTTGTTTTGGTTTATAGGTTCTTTAGGATTTTCTGTGTTGATAGTAATGTTATTTGTAACTGACATTTTACCCATTCTTGTACTTAGAATGCTTCTTGTACTGAGAATGCTTCTTGTACTTAGAATGCTTCTTGTACCAGGCTTTAGACTTGTGTTCCTGTTTTCTTGTATTTATCTTTGCTTTTTGTCTGACCCACAGGCATCATTGTTAGTATTGTATTATACAGTTTCGCTTGGTTAAACTGACTGCATGCATTTCCCACCTTCTTTGCTCTTCCTTCCTTCCTGCATCCTAGATCTTTGATCAGGAAACCCTCTTCTTTTGCTGGAAGAGTCTCTTCCACTGGAGATTCACTGCTGAAAGACTGTGTCAGTTTTTGCTGTTCTAAAAGGTCTTCACTTTGCTCTCCTTCTTGAAAGTTTCTTCCTTAGGCGGTAGAACTCTAGGCTGACAAGTTATTTTTTTCTCAGAAATCGCTGTCTTTTTGTCTTCTGGCTTCATTGTTGCTTTTGAAAAGTCAGCTAGCTCTTGCTTCTTTAAAGGTGATCTTTTTTTAACCCCTCCCCCCCCCAGGTGATTTTTAAGATCTCTTTTGTATGTTTTGGTATCTTGGCAGTGTCATTACAGTAGGCCCAGGTGTGGCTATCTTTCTGTTTATCCTGTGTGAGGTTTATTGGAATTCTGGAATCTGATTTGGTTTCTTTCATAGTAAGAGCAAAGACTTGTAGAGCCAGAGAAGCTCAATTTGAATTCTGGTTCGACCACTTACTAGCTTTCTGACTCTGGGCTCGTGCATAACCTCCCTGTGTCTCAGTTTCCTCAAATAGAAGGTGGAGATAGTAATTTTGCCTGCTTCATAGGTGGGTGTCAAATTCTTAATGTATGTTAAGCCACCAAAAACTGACTCCAGTGCTCTGCTTACCACCTTCCTTCATATTTTGTCCTTAGTACTTGTTTCTTTGCCAGTTCGTTGTGATTGTTAAGATGTTTTTTTTTTTCCAAGCTGAATCCAGCCGTTTTTGTTGTTTTCAGTGGCAGAGTGTAACTAGCTGATTAACTTGCCATTGTTCCTGGAAACCTGAGGCTTTGTGCTCAGAACCTGTGTGCTCTCTTGTCCTCTTTTTTAAAAATAACATTTTATTGTGTTCTCAGTGAATGTTTTCATAGTAGTTTAGGTTCTACACCAAGTAGTGCAGTTTCTACACCAATTGTTCACTGACATTCATTCCATTCTTCACAGCACATGAACATTTTCAGGATTTCTATTCTGTGTATTTTGTCTCCATTAATCTAGTTTCTCTGCCCCCTTACCTTCTCATCTTTGTTTTAAAGTAATTGTTAACCATTTGGTCTCATATAAGTGATTTTTCAAAGGCGCACATAGTATTCGATTGATACTCTTTATTGTGAGCCAGTCAGTTATTTAGCTAAAAAGTGACCTGAGGGACTAGTTCTAGTTCAAGGTTTGAAGAGTATCTCATGGCAGTCGCCAGTCTCAACTAGTTTGTGTTGTGTCTGGTGTTTATTTCATTTTATCTTTTTATTAAGGACTTGGAGGTTTTGTTCCACATTTTTCTCCCATTCTGTCAGCATCTGTTTGTTATGGCCCTAATTAGAGTGGCCGGTAGTGGTAGATGGATACCATCTAGTTCTTCTGGTTTCAGGATAGATTAGGCTGGGGTTCGTGTACACTGTGAGTCCTGTGTACTAGTTTCTTCTTAGTGTCTTTGTCCTCTTGCTCACCTGTACACACCCCCTTGCCTTTTCTTTACCACATGTAAATGATTTGTGTGCACTTGTATTTCACAAAGCCTCCTTGATGAAGCCCACAATCACTTAAACCTTGTTCTGGCTTTCAGTAGAGTGTGGTTGAAGAGAAGCCAAGTTGATTCTGCATATTGTGTAACAAGAACTGTGATTGTGTGTCTTTGGATCTGAGAATGTTCTGCCCAGCCTCCTCCATCTTTTGCATGTACCTTTGCACACCTGCAGAAACCATTTGGAGCCATTGGAATGAGGAACCTGAAATAGCACAGGCACTGGGTTATCACAGTTTGGTTTCATTCAGTCACTCAGTAGACCTAGAATGTGACTTCTGTGTTGGAAGGATGGTTAGCAGCAGTCATTGGCAAAGATGTCTCTCTTTAATTTAGTTCTGGATTGCTGGGAGATTTAAGTTCCGTGTGGTCCAGGAGTGGATTTCGAAAAGAATCTGGAAACCTTAGAGATAATTGCCACGGAGAGGCACTTTGTGGACCAGATGGGATTCTCATCTTGCTCATCGCAGTGTGGATCCCAGTGTTGAGACATTCCAAGAAGGAGGAGTTGGGAATTCTTCTCTTGGTGTAGCCACCCAAAAACCAAAACAAAACAAAAAAAAAACCTCACTGCTGTCAAGTCATTTCCAACTCATAGCCACCAAAAAAACCCAAACTCACTGCTGTTGAGTTGAATGCGGCTCATAGCAACCCCTCCTTGGTTTCCAAAGTGGTATCTCTACAGAAGTAGATCACCCGATCTCCCTTCTGAGGACTGGCTAGTGGGTTTGAACTACCAGCCTTTTGGTTAGCAGTCAGATGCCTTAGGCACTGTACCACCAGAGCTCCTGGCTCATAGCCAGTCTTGTCAAAATTGAGTTTCTTTGAAGACATGTCGTGCTCCCTGATGGCATCAAGGGCCCCTTTCAACATTCGTGCCCTCTCCCTTTACTCCAGCTGCAAGCAGAGGCACCAAGGCTGGCAGAGTATCAAGCATACATCGATTTTGAAATGAAAGCTGGTGATCCTGCTCGTATTCAGTTGATCTTTGAGCGTGCCCTGGTCGAGAACTGCCTCGTTCCTGACTTGTGGATCCGTTACAGTCAGTACCTAGTAAGCTCATTTAACTGTTCTAATTTCATGTTTTTTGTTTTTTTTTTGTTATAAACAGTGTAGAATCTATTTTTTAAAAAATCTGTAAGAAGGGCATGCTGCCCCTCTCTGCCCTTTGTCCCATTCTCCTTCGCTCCTCCTGCCAACTCGCTGACCGCGTTCTCCTATTGTTTTAAGTTGTTTTAGACTGATCACTAACGAGAAAAATTGATGTTTAGTCTTACTTTTTGAGGACATTATGATACTGATTTTTTTTCTTTTAACTATTTTATGGAAAAATTTTAAACATGTAAAATGAGTAGATAGGTACCCATCCCCCAACTTTGACAGGTGTAACTCAGCTAGCCTGGTTTCCTCTATATCCTCACCTACTTCCTCACTTGTGTTATCTTGAAGCAAATCCAGAACTCTTCTTTTGTTGGTCAATAACCAAACAAGGTCCTTACATTAGGATTGGTTGCTGTCTCTTAAGGCTATTTTAATCTGTAGGCTCCCCTTTCTGCCTCTCATCTCCCTCTGACCCACAGTCCCCTTTTGCAGTCTGTTGTTGAAGTAACCATGTCACAAGAGATATTCTTAAGGACATTTCTTTGTCAGTTGACTGTGTTAGAAATGTCTCATGATGGTAAAGTCTTAACAATACAGTTTTATCTCTTGACCCTGGAATTCTTTATCATAGGATCGGCAGCTAAAAGTCAAGGACTTGGTTTTATCTGTACACAGTCGAGCTGTTAGAAACTGCCCCTGGACGGTTGCCCTGTGGAGTCGGTATCTCTTAGCCATGGAGAGATACGAAGTTGATCATCAGACAGTTTCGGGTAAGAGTGTTTTTGTAGGAGGACTTGTAAGCTTTATGCCCCAAGTTGGAAACATGGAGCTGTGGGGAAGTGATTAAACCCCAACTTGCAGAGTGTTTCTTTGGGGTTTTGGGTGTTAGTGAAGAAAGGGCTCCACGTGGCAGAGAAACTGGTTGGACTTTAGGCTTCTTAGAGCTTTCTAATATGCTAATATCATTGTGTTTCTCCAAGAGGTTATGGACTTTTCTCCAAACCCGTTTGCTTCTGGGACTCTAGCCGCAGAGCAGCTTGTGGAGCTGTTCTCTCTAGAACAGTGTGTGCAGCTGGGTGAGCTGGCCGGGTGAACGGTTCACTTAGCTCACTCACTCACAGATTTTTGTTTATAGCCATGTATTGTTTTCTAGTTGGTAGTGGTTTATATAATCGCCTTAATAACTTTATATGGGCTACTTTGTGAACTGGCACCAAAACCTGACTTTTTCTCTGAATCTAGCCACCTTCGAGAAAGCTCTGAGTGCCGGCTTTATTCAGGCCACTGATTACGTAGAGATTTGGCAGGCGTTCCTTGATTACCTGAGGAGAAGAGTTGATTTCCAACAAGGTATTTAAGTTCACCTCAGAACTAAACCTTTTCTAATTCTGTCTTTTGGTGAGATGTCCCAGTGGCCCAAATACATTGTGATTAGACAAATAATGTGGACTCCCTGAAAATCGTAGCTATTTTTTCTTCAATAGCTCATGCTGTGGATTGTAAAGGAAGAGAGTAACGGCCCTCTACATATCTTAAAGAGTTCTTTAAATAAGATGCTGTGTTTCTCTTAAACTGTCACACCCTGCAGCATCCCCTGTCCTTGAGGCCCCCTCCATGACCCCTCAAATAGCAACCAGAAAAGTCCTGTCCAGCTTGTTCTTGCACGTTCCTGTCAGCTCTCACAAGGTAGCCTTCAGCCGTTGTCTGTGCCCATGTCCCCGGCTCAGAGAGCCGTATTTCTGCTGTGGACCCACACAGTCCTGTGCTTGCTTCTGTGCTCGTGCCCCGTCCACACTGCCCTCTGTTGTTGTCTGTCTTCTCAACTGCACACTGAGGGCAGGCACTGGGATTCTGGTGCTGTGTCCCCAGCATGATGAAGGCGTATAATAGGCTTCTTCCCAGGCGATTGCAGTGTAGCAGTAATAAAAACGACGTGCCAGGGGAACCATTGAGTTGGACTTCTTTTGCACTTTCTAACAGACTCTAGTAAAGAGCTGGAAGAGCTGAGGTCCGCGTTTGCGCGCGCCGTGGAGTATCTGAAGCAGGAGGTTGAAGAGCGTAAGTATGACTCCTGAGCACTGCTGGGGCCTGGCTGTGCGTCCTGTGCTCGTTCTGTCAAAGACTGTCTGCCTGTGACCACTTCTAGCTTTGACTAATTCTGTTCTCTGAAGGTTTCAATGAGAGTGGAGACCCGAGCTGTGTGATCATGCAGAACTGGGCTCGGATTGAGGTAAGTCTTGGCAGCTCTGCCACCTTCCTTGCCTAACAACTTGACTAAAATTGAGTTAGAATCCCAGGTATAGATGTCTAGGCTTGGCTATGATTTGTGTTATTTATCTAGCTTATATACATCTGCTTATTATACGTTAGTGAAGTTGTCAGCTCCCAGGTGGAAGCTGTTCAGTACACGTATGAACACCAGACATTTACTTGTCTGCTTTTTCCCTCTCTCCCTCATTTCCTCGTTCATGAGAACATAGTTACACTATTTGCCAGGTACTTTTGGAATCCATTTCCTTGCTTCTTTGAGCTTCTGTATAGTTGTGGTTAAGGCATTGGGCTGCTAACCAAAAGTTTGGCAGTTCAAACCCTACAGCTGCTGTGGGAGAAAGATGAGGCAGTCTACTACTATAAAAGTTTACGGGTGTGGAAACTCTGTGGGGGTTGTGAGTTGGAATTAGCCCAATGGCAGTGGGTTTGGTTTATTAGCCACTAGTGGAAGCTCTGTTTATTAGCCGCTAGTGGGAGCTCTGGTAGCATAGTGCCTAAGACATTTGACTGCTAACCAGAAGTCTGGTGGTTCAAACCCACCAGCCACTCCTCGGAAGGAAGGTTGGGCAATCTATTTCCATAGTGATACCACCTCAGAGGGGTCGCTATGAGTCAGGTCTGACTTGATGGCACATAACGACAACAGTGGAAGAAGTAGACACAGTCCCTGCGCTGTTACGGCTTTGATCTAGTGTGGAAGACATACTTTGACAAGTAATTAGAAAATACAGTGAGTTATTACTGGGCCAGAGACACCAAGATGAGTAAGACATAGAGCCTGCCCATGATGAGCTGATAGAATTTTAAAATTCAAATCATATTTTAGTCTCTTGAGGGAGAATTGGGTTGAAGAAGCTAACATTTATCAAAGGACTGCTCTGTGTATCAAGCAGTTTCTGGATAGGATTCTTCTATTGTAACTACTTTAAACATGAGGAAACTCAGGTTAAATCACTTCCCCAAGATCACTAAGCTGGGAAGTGGCAGAGCTGGCTTTGACCCTAGGTCAGTCTGTGTCCCAGAAAAAACAAAACCCATCGTCATCAAGTTGATTCTTCTCGCTATACTGTCTTAAAATTAAACACTTGTAATTAAATTTGGTAAAAATAAAAACCAAGTCACGATCCAGGAGTGTCCAGTGCTGTGGGTTCCCAGTCTTTGTTCTCAAGAGGCATTGGCAGACACTCGTCACTGTAGACAAGGCTGTATGTAGGAGGACTGGGGAACAGCCAAGGATTTCTGTAACATGGACAATTATGGGAGTCTTTTTGTGCATGCCTGTTTGAAGTCTGTTTTGTTATGCATGTTGGTGTCATAAGGTTCAGGCCCTCTTGATTGAGCCTGCTAATTCATTTTAGGGAGCTCTGGTAGCATAGTGCCTAAGGCACTTGACTACTAACCAGAAAGCTGGCGGTTCAAACCCACCAGCCACTCCTCGGAAGGAAGATGGGGCAATCTGCTTCCATAGTGATACTGCCTCAGAAATCCAAGGAGGGGTCGCTATGAGTTGGGTCTGACTCGACGGCATATAGCATCAACAACAACAACAACAACAACAACAATTCATTTTAGGCTCGACTGTGCAATAATATGCAGAAAGCCCGGGAACTCTGGGACAGCATCATGACCAAAGGAAATGCCAAATATGCCAACATGTGGCTTGAGTATTACAACCTGGAAAGGTAACTCACCTGGGAGTGAGGGAGGTGGTGCTTCTCAAGTGTGCACCTGTCTTTAGACTGGGGGGCGGGCGGTGCTTATCAAGTGTGTACCTGTCTTTAGTGCTAGCTGACTCCCTGCCAGCTTAGATTTGCTCTCCAGAAATAGCTGCCTTCTTTGTCCTGTCTCTTTTGTTAGTATAATGGGTGCATTTTTATTGGCAGGGCTAGTGAACCAAAACATTACATTTTGTGCCTGAGACGCTTACAACCATGCATTTCTTGTAATCTGTTTGGTTTATTTTGTTTTGGGGACATGAATGTCTGATTTGACTTATTTTAAAAAATTTTGTTTGCTTTACATGTAAAAGTAGAAAGCAAGGAAAAAAAAGTCCAGTCCCTTAGCCATTACTGACTCAGACATAACCACTGTTAGTTAATGGTTTGTTGTATATTCTTTGAGACTTTTCTATGCTTAACTTTTATTTTTTATGAAAATGCAGTCATAGTTTACATGTTACAAACCTTTCAAGCTGTTTTCTTTAAACAATATATACCAAATAATATTTATAACGTGGAAAGCTATGAAGAATGTGACTGGCTCTTTTATCCTGTGTGTCTTGGACATGACACATCAGTAAATGTATTTCTGTATTGCCTGTTTTCCTTTTTGAATATTTTTTTTTCTCAGTTTTCAAAACATTTAATACTTTCTAAATGTAAAAGTGGAACGTTTATAAACATACGTGATAGAAAGTGAATGTTCTCTATAATCCCAGCCAGAGAGATGGCAAATATTAAAGCTTGCTGATACTCCTCTAGAGTGGTGGTTTCCACACTTTCTGGTCTCAGGGGCCCTTTATACTCTTAAAAATTTGTGAGGACCACAAAGAGCTTCTGTTGATGTGGGTTCTATATGTTAACTTTTACATATTAGAAATTGAAACTGAGAAATTATTTCAAAATAACATCCATACAACTCTGTTACATTTAATATAACATTTCTTTTTTAAATGAAAATGCGACTATTTTCCAAAATAGCATGAATGATTCTGTTACATTTAACATAACTTTTTTTTTTTAATGAAAAAATGACTATTTTCCAAACTCCAAAAAGCATAGTGAGAAATGTGGGAGGGTTTTATAGTTTTTGCAGATATCTTTAATCTGTGTTAGTAGAAGACTGGTGGATTCTCTTATCTGCTTCTGTACTCAGTCTGTTGTGATACGTTGTTTTCATTGAAGACAGTGAAGAAAATTTGGCCTTGCACAGATAGGAAATTAGAAAAGTGAGGGCTGTTTCAGTAGCCTTCTCAGATAATAATTATTAACATTCTTCTTTGATACTACACCAAAATTCAACAGGTGGTGGTTTCTTAAAGGTCAGTTGCAGTGTGGAATCTGAGACCATAGCCATGAATTTTCCATTAATACCCCTTGGTTTGTTTTGTATTTTGAGGGACCCTTTTATGCATGGGTGATTCTATAACACCACTTTGGTCATGTGGAAAAAATTGATTCACTGAGTCATGTAGTTCTCCCAAATATCAACATGTTTCATTAGACAGTGGCCCCCCCCCATGACATTAATTAATATTCCCACCTAGCTCAGTGGAAAAGTCTTAAGTAGGAAACTGTCAAACTCACAGTGGCAGATAAAAATTTTCCGAAATTTTAATTTTTACTTGAAAACTTGAATTTTGTCACTGGCAACAGTACTACTGTAAGTGTTTTCCTTAAGGTGACAGGCTCACTTTGTAAATTTTCAAGAAAATGTGCCAGATTCCCACACCTGAGTAGCCACAGCTGTCAGTCAGCTGCTCTTTGAGGTAACAGTGGTGTTCCACAGAACAAAGGACCAGCTGAGCTCACAACTCAGACAGGAGCTGTGGTTTGCAGCAGAAGAGCTCTGGGTAAATCTCCAGTTTGTCACAGATGTATTGCTTTTGTTCCATCAAATGCCAACAAATTTCAACACAGTGAAAAAGGCAAACAGTGTTTTGGTGGCAGTGCAAAAGGAGCTTGACCTGGCAGACGACCTGAAAGGGCCTCGGAGGGCCCCCCGGGGGTATGTGCATCCCACATAGAGAACCATTGCTCTAAAGTTTTCTGAATTGTCCAAATAGGTATTTTCAGATACTTACTTATATGTGTAATAATTTTGAAACGAAAATGAGAACATACTCTTTTCTGTTTCTGTGATTGATCAGCGGTGTGTCTTTCTGTGTTGGTACAAAAGATCTGATTTTGCACAGGATTTTCAGCATTCCATTGGATTAGTGATTCTTAGTTTTGGTGGGACTAGAGAGAATTTCTCTAGGAACTTTATCAAATTACATAGATTGCTCGATTAAACCCTTTTATCACCTCCTTTCCCTAGCTTTGGGCATATTCAAATGTTGTAAAGGCAGAAAGTGTCGTAGACCACCATCCCAGGTCCCTTTTTCCATAGTACCTGCCTGCTGGGGAAAGAGCAGGTTATAAGGAAGCTTTAGTGTGTGACTGTGAGGTCATGAGTGTAACAGGGAGAAAACATTGAGAATAGTGCCAGTGTGAAAAGCTGTGGACAGTTCTGAAAGCTAGAGTCTCCTCAAGCAAGAACATCAGGGCACTCAGGTCCCTGGGTGCTGCCTGGGGGAGAAGAGTGCCTCTCTCTCTCTGTGAGCCCTGGTGGCTGCAGCTGTTCATTTTCTGTCCTAGGGCACACGGTGACACCCAGCACTGCCGGAAGGCTCTCCACCGGGCCGTCCAGTGCACCAGCGACTACCCTGAACATGTCTGTGAGGTGCTGCTCACCATGGAGAGGACAGAAGGTGGGCCCGTGGTGCTCTGCCTCTGGTTTGCAGTCTGACTGCTCTACTGTTTGGTCTTAAGTCGGCGGTTCTGGTTTCTAAGCTCCTGGCAGGACAGACTGGATGACCACAGCCCCTACAGGGTGCTACATGTTTAGGATGTCAGCGTGGTGCTCTGTCAGGAGAGTGAGCCCTCCTGCAGCTGTTTGTAGATCTCCGTGTACAAGTAGGCCTCTGAGGGAGCTTGAGCATGGGGTTTCTCTAATCCTTTGTTATGAGGGGCTGTCCTATGCCCTGTAGGATGTTTCACAGCCCCCCAAGTAATGACAATCACCAGTGTCTCCAGACATGATTAGATGTCCTGTGGGGGCAGGAGCACCTTGCTGAGAACTCCTGCTTTAGCACTGTGTTGTGTGTGTACTGGTCACATGTGCACTCTGGTCGGATCACAGCCTTCGACATTAAGGTGTGTGACTTCATCCAGTAGAGAAAAAGCATGACTATCCATTGGTGTGGCACACACTATGGCATTGGTGTGGCGTTTTGGTGTATGCCTGTCTCATCAGAACCGGTAAGAAAATTACCCAGACACCAATGATGGTAACAAAAACAGCAACAAAACCAAGAAGTAGCCCAGTGTTTGTCACTGAGACAGTTCACCTCTTTGTGCTCTTCAAGAGTCTTTAGTCTTAATGTCAATGTCTTGTTCTTTGTTGTATTAGAATGTGTTTTCATGGTCTTGGCACTGAGAGCCCATAATAGATGGCATTCTCTTCTCTGAAGGAGAAGAGACAGTTCAAACAAAGCACGATGGACTACTTGAGCTCTAAATCTGAAACCTTCGCTTATGAACATTTTCTTCAAATGGGGAGCTGACTCGCCTGTTTTTTTTTGTTTTTTTGACTGATGGGAGAGATCACTTCTGGGGGTGTGGGGAAATTAAGAAAATGGTCTGTTATATCCTTCAAAAACTTAAAAAGTGAAACTTTGCTTCCCCATCCATCAAGGTACTTTAGAAGACTGGGATATAGCTGTTCAGAAAACAGAAACTCGACTAGCTCGTGTTAACGAGCAGAGAATAAAGGTAATGATGACATTTATTTGACGTCTTTAGAGCCTCTGAGAGCCGTTTTGTCTGTGTTTGGTATGATAATTTCTCGTCAAAACCTTAGAGGTTTTCTTTCCTAACAAGTGTCTTTTACTCGGAGCATTAATTATGAAATATTTGAATCAGTATTTAAGCCTGTTGTATTCCATTTTTTTAGATCATGTTAAAACTACAGCCCCAGGAGTAAATCCTCTCTAATGCAGTGAGAGAATTTTGGCCCTAATATTTCCAAATTTTTAATTTTGGAAATTCTTTTTAATATTGATTAAAAATAATGAAAAGGGCTTACCAGGTCCTTCTTACTCATACGTGACAAGGAAGCCTTAGTGGAAGATGAACAGCCCATAAATGACTTCAGGCCCCACTGTTACAGTTTCTCTTTTTGTTGGTGAGGATATTAATGAGTATATTGTTAACAGAAGGAGCTCTGGGAGCGTAGTGCCTAAGGCACTTGACTGCTAAACTGGAAGGCTGGTGGTTCAAGCCCACCAGCCACTCCTCGGAAGGAAGGTTGGGCAATCTACTTCCATAGAAATAGTGCCTTGGAAACCCAAGGAGTGGTCGCTATGAGTCAGGTCTGACTTGACGGCACATAACAACAACAACAACAACAACATTGTTAAAAGAACTGGGGACTAAACATACAGAATCCTAAGAGGTCCAGCAGTGGGAACACTATGCGTGTCCTCTTGCCTTTTTCATGGTCTCTTTTCACTTGAGTAATGGATTTCCAAGGGGTCCTGGTGGTGTAGTGGTTAAGTGCTTGAGTGCTAACCGAAAGGTGTGATCAAACCCACCAGATGCTCTGTGGAGAAAGATTACACCCTTGGAAACCTTATGAGGCAGTTCTGCTCTGTCCTGTGTTGTTGCTGTTGAGTTCATATTTTCCCAACAACAAGAAATTGATGGCTTTCCACTCCTCTCTTCTTTCCTCCCTTTCATCACAGGTTGGTACAGTTCATGTCACTGTACCGCACCCAGTGATCTGTCATGCACTTGTTTTCTAGGCTGCGCAGAAGGAAGCAGCCCTAGCCCAGCAAGAGGAAGAAAAGGCTGAGCAGCGGAAGCGGGCCCGGGCTGAGAAGAAAGCCCTGAGAAAGAAGAAAAAGATTCGTGGTGAAGACAAACACAAAGCAGATGAGGATGATGAGAAAGAGTGGGGCGATGATGAAGAAGGTAACGCTTTCTAGAAATGTTATTTTGAAACATCTCAGACTTAACAGAGAAGTTCCACAAACAGTACAAAGAGCTTGTTTTTTCCTGAAGGCTGGAGCAGTGGCAGGCTGGAGCAAGGCGTGGTGCTCCATCACCCCTCTCTGTGTGTCTTCCAAACAAGGACAGCCTTCTACAGAACTGTAATGTAGCCATTTAAGCTCTGGTGGTGTAGTGCCTAAGGCACTTGACTGCTAACCAGAAGGTTGGCAGGTGTAACCTATCAGCCACTCCTCGGAAGGAAGATTGGGCAATGTACTTCTGTAGTGATACTGCCTTGGAAACCCAAGGAGGGGTCGCTATGAGTCAGAGGTGACTTGACGGCACTTAACAACAACAACAAGAGAGGACGTTAAGAGCAATATGTTACTTCCCTCTCATTCTCAGAGCCTGGTCAGGGCTCACCATTTGTCTAAGTAACGTTGTTTGTAGCAAAAGAAAACAGCGCGAGAGCACATGGCACACACAGATACCCTGTTTTGAGTCTCCTTCAGTCTGGACCAGTCCTCAGTCTTTCCATGACTCTCTTGATCTTGACACTTTTGAAGAGGACAGGCCCATTGCTGCATAGATATCCCTTAGCCTGGGTTTTGTCTAGTGTTTCCTTGTGATTAGCTGCAGGCTGTGCATCTTGGACAGCAGTGGCCCAAGAGTAATGGCTGTGCTCTTCTCACCATGTCCTGTCAGGTGATTTCCCTTTGTCGCTTTACTGCTCTTCATATGTGACCCTGTGACCTCAGTGCTGTATAAATGGGGCTGTAGGAGACTCAGGCGTGGATTGTGGTAGAAGCCAGAGAAGGCACTGGTGGGCCAGCTCTGCAAGGACTTCATGGAGGAAGCGATGGCTCCACCTCGGCAGCTGGGGGAGGAGGAGGTGATTATCAGGGAGAAAGGCTGGGGTAAGGCAGGCAGGCGGTGCTGGCGCAGCACCAAGGCCCCAAACCACCTGGTGGTTTGCATGAGCAGCAGGTAACTGGATTTGTGCCTCGTGAGTGGCAGAGGGGCAGGTGCTGTGGTAGGGGAGACTGCAGCAGTGTGCACGCTCAGCTCCTTGGCCCCGCTTAGAGACACTCTTGACTGCAATGTGCAGGGGTTTAGATGGTATTGGGAAGGCAGTGGGGCACTTGATTGAAAGGTATGTAATCAGAGGGCTCAGGTCAGATTGAGATTGTGCAGTGTCCACTGGAGGCAGTGGTGAGGATGAGTTGGGATTAGAATGTTGTTCAACTTTCTGGAAGGACAGACAGACTGAGTTATTTAGACCATGTGGGTTCTTTGTTGCTTTTCAAGTGGCCCGTGGAGCATGCACATCAGAGTCACTGAGTGCTTGTGAAATGCAGACTCCTAGGTTCCATCCAAACTTGCTTTCTAAGGCTTCCTAGGCAAGGGGTTCTGGAATTATCCATCTGAAGTTTGAGACTCTGTTAACTAATTATATAAAATTAATTTTATATAATTAAAGAGTGGGCAGTGGGGATTTATAGTCTCACTTCCATGTGATTGAGTTCCTTTACCCCAACTTACTTGGGTCCCAGGAAGCAGTAGGACAGGTCTGCTGGGCCAAGAAGGACTTTTTTTAAAAAAAATTTTTTATTTTAAGAGTTTGTTTTACATTCAACATTACATGTATGTTTAGTTTCACTCTCTGTTTCCTATCCCCAACCCTAACCTAGTCTCCTCCCCTCCCTGCCCAGTAGTAACCTTCCCCCCATGCCCCTCATAGTTATGCACTCCTGTGTGTCCTGCATTTCCTCCATGCAATTGTTGCCCCTCTGGTGCCCCGTGGTTGATTGCTCCAAGGGATGCATTTCCATAGAGTATGTGGGTGCATCACCCTGGGTTGAATGGTGTATGTGTACATCTTGTGTACTATTGGGCTGAGAGTCAGCCCCAGGGAGTAAGTTTTATTCCAGGCCCAGAATGTATCCCAGGACCACAGTATTGGGGGTCTCACCAGACTCCATCTGACCAGTAATTCTGGTCATTATTGAGTTTTTGGATTTTATTCCACGTTTTTCCTCCCACTCTGTTCAGGATCTCCATATTGATCCTTTCCTGAGTGGTTGGCATTGGTAGCCATGCACCATCTAGTTCTTCTGGTCTTGAGGGCCATTGTGTCCTTGGGCTGGTTGCTTCCAAATGCCCTTGTATTTTTGCACTCTCTGAGAAGGACTTGATGGAGGATGTGGCACCTGTACTCCAGCATCTGGACTGGGGAATGAGTGTTGTTAGGTGCACTGGTTACAGATCAGCCATTTATAGTAGGCAGAATGTGTTCACCCAAAAGTGAGCTAACTGCTCACCAAAAGGAGGAAGTAATTAATTATTGCTGCTTTTCTTTTGAAAACGTGCAGAGCAGCCTTCCAAACGCATGAGGGTTGAGAACAGCATTCCCCTAGCTGACGAAGCACAAGGTATGCAAGCAGTGCTGGCTGGGAAGAGGGCACCTGTGGATGTCGACCCCCCTTCCAAGCAGAAGGAAAAGGCTGCCTCTCTGAAGAGGGACATGGCCAAGGTTCCTCATGACAGCAGTAAAGACAGCATCACAGTGTTTGTCAGCAACCTGCCCTACAGCATGGGGGAACCGGACATGAAGCTCAGGCCTCTCTTTGAGAGCTGTGGTGAAGTGGCAGAGATCCGCCCCATCTTCAGCAACCGCGGGGACTTCCGAGGGTACTGCTATGTGGAATTTAAAGATGAGAAATCAGCTCTTCAGGCCCTGGAATTAGACCGTAAAAATGTGGAAGGGAGGCCAATGTTTGTCTCCCCCTGTGTGGATAAGAGCAAAAATCCTGATTTTAAGGTATGTTTGTGGAAAAAAGAAAGTCTCTTGGGTAGATAGATTAGCCACTTTTTTCTCCGTAGCAACTAACACAGTAAAACCTGCGACAGCCAGAACCTGTATAAGGCAGAAACCTGTCAGAGAAGAAAAATGCAAACATTTTCCATTCAGATAGGAGGTAGACATGTGGTAAGACCAGACCCTGTCAAATGCAGAAAACTTGCGTGATCCAGAAAAACATCACAGGCTTGTCAAGTTCTGGCTCTCACAGGGTTCACGGTACTTAGAATCTACACACAATTTTTGTACTACATGAAGAACTAAACTTAAAAGCTTGCTGAGGTCTGACTTGGCTTGGTCACTTCGAGCTTGTATTAGTTGGTTTACTAATGATAAAATTAGGAATGATCATATTGGCTACTTTCTGTGAAATGCTTCATAGTGACAAGGACAATGCTAACCATTTTATGTATTACCTCACTGAATCCTCACCCAAACTCTAGATGAGCTACTCGTATTCTTGCCATTTTACACACAAGAAAGCGGAGGCTTAAAGAGGTTGAGTTACTTTCCCAGGGTGACCCAGTTAGTAAGAGCCAGGTTTGACTCTGCTCCCCTGATGGGGTGAGTTCCTGTGGATGAGCTGGGACCTCATAGGGGTGTTGTGCTGGCTGGATCTCGAGTTGTTGGCCTTGTTTCCCTCCTTCCTGTAGATATTCAGGTACAGCACTGCCTTGGAGAAGCACAAGCTGTTCATCTCGGGCCTGCCTTTCTCCTGCACCAAAGAGGAGCTGGAGGAAATCTGCAAAGCTCACGGCACCGTGAAGGACCTCCGGCTGGTTACTAACCGGGCTGGCAAACCCAAGGTCTGCATCCTTGAGAGAAGCGTGGGCGAGCCTCACTTCTCCCTCTCTCCTGGGGTGACTTAATTCTAAAGGGGGCTCCTGCTTGTCTGCTAAGAAACCAGTGACAGTTTTACAGAAAGATAATGTGCACTTGGCTCTGCTTATACCTGGAGTCAGATTAACTTGTTGGTAGCTAATTATATTAAAAGAAAATAAGGCACCCAGTGACTAAGGCCATGGTGCAAGCCCCTGGCTGTGGGGCCTGTGGGGTGAGGTGCCTCCTTGGCACCTTTGCTTCCTTCCCCAGATCCTCACTAAGCCTCCAGCCATGTCCTTCAAGGTGCTCTGCTAGAGTCCCTTCTGATTGCAGTCTCTTTCCTTGCATCCGACTCTCTGCCCCCTCTCCTGAGCTGCTTCCTTTCAGTCTTTTGTTGAATCCTGTTGTACCCCTTGTTGAGCAGTGGTATTCAAGTGTGATTCTGGGTTCCCTCTTGTTCCTCACCCCCATCTGTTATCCAGGTTAATGGAGAGTTAGTTGGCTGTATCATGTAAGGGAGGTGGCCGGAGGCCTAGAGACAGTAGGCTTCACTCTGTGTTCAGTCCACCTGTTTGTTTGCTGGATTTATATTTACCTTTTTTTTTTTTCTCCCACCCCCCACTCCCAGGGAAGTACAAGGTACGGCACTTAAAAAAGTTTTCTTAAGTTAAATTAGTAGGTGCAGTAGGGAAGAGGAACACGGTAGGGAGCACCCGTACAGAGGAAGGATGGTGTCTGGGAGCCTGGCTGAAGGCAGGTTGTTAATGGGCGTCAGCTGTGCTTTGGCTGCTTGCGCAGGCCGAGGGTGTCGGTAAGGAAGGCCTCCTGACCTGCCTGAGGAAGCTGCGGGCCAGATCAGGAGCATCTTAACTGCTCTGGATTTTGCTCTTCCAGGGCCTGGCTTACGTGGAGTATGAAAATGAATCCCAGGCATCGCAGGCTGTCCTGAAGATGGACGGCATGACCATCAAGGAGAACATCATCAAAGTGGCAATCAGCAATCCGCCTCAGAGGAAAGTGACAGAGAAGCCAGAGGCCAGGAAAGCACCAGGTGGCCCCATGGTGCCACGGCAGATTTATGGAGCGTAAGTGTCTGCACGCTGATCTAGGCCAGAACTAGGTTCACTGACCATGGAGGCACACATCACGGGTTAGTGCTTTATTAGTACAAGAGTTAGCAAAGAAGCCCAGGCCTGCTGCTCCTGGGGTGAGCTCTGTGGCTCATTGGAGCTTGGTGTTTAAAGCCAGTCCATGCAGAGTGCAAGCCAGGTCATGTAAACTGTTTTCTGAGTGTTTTTGCCTGTTTATAGTTGTGATGTTTTTCAGGTAATATTGTAGGTGGTGATTATGAAAGTCCTCTTTGCTAATTGAATTTGATTGTATGCTTGCCAGATCACCTACAACTCTAGCTATAATCCATGTAAAAGCTATGTTTTTGCCTGATAGGGATGAGAGGGCACAAGTACAAGGTTATTTGGTGAGATCTCTAAGAGTATGTCCATTTTTATCCACCCTGACTGTGACTGTTGAACAGAGCTGGTCCTTGCCTAAACTGAGAAAGGCAAAGCTTCTTAAACGATCTTTATCTAATACCCATTAACTAGACAGAGGCCATCTTAGCCTTCTTGTTTTCCTTTTTGAACTTGTTGGTGATTGAAAGCTATGTCTGCTCATTTTCCACAAATAGACCATGGGTTGTTGCTGCAGGAGGGTACATTCAATGTTTGCTCTTCCAGGCGGGGGAAGGGAAGGACCCAGCTCGCTCTCCTGCCTCGAGCCCTGCAACGCCCAAGCACTGCAACTCCCCAGGCCGAGAATGGCCCTGCCCCGCGTCCAGCGGTCGCCACCTCAACAGCCACCGAGGCGCCCAAGATGTCCAATGCGGATTTTGCCAAGTTGCTTCTGAGAAAGTGAAGGGGACTGAGTGAGAGGAGGGAAATGCCTTACTGCGTGCTGGTCAGGAGCCCACCAGATACCCAGCCATGTGCTGAACCTCAGGGGCCACTGGCCACCTTGTGGACGGCTGGTGCAGTGCCCACCTGGCTCACTGTCCGCCATGTAGACAGAAGGGGGAGGTGTTCCAAATCAAGAGACTTTAAATACTCCCTCATATTGAGGGCAATGGGAGAACGGTCACTATAGTTTGGGCACAGGGTATAGTTTCCTAAGCTATTCTAGTCTCTCAGAGTGTGAGAATCAGAAGTGAAACCTGAGCAGTCTTGAGACCACTTGTCCAGATGTTTCTGGTCATCTCCTGGCCCCTTTATAAGACACTTGTCTACACCCTGCACAGCATGTGCCCGTCACTCTTTTAATTTTTAAAAGACAAAATGGGAGATGCTAGTAATTCACCAGAATGGCCTATTTTAGTAAAGGGGTGGGGACAAAGGAAGTCACATAAAAAAGAGTTGATGGAGTTTTGTTCAAGGGGGCTGTGCGTTTTTATATTTTGAATTTGTAAATGACATGTCAACGCATTGTTTATGTTTCCTACAAGCAAAATATTGCCGATGGTTTTATATAAGAATTCTGTATGCCACCTGCTGTGGATCATTTTCTTTGCCTAGTGACTAGTGACCTGTGTTCTTTGTCTAAATACTGAGTTTCCGTCCTTTGATTTTGTTTAAATAAATACCACGTCAAGTGCAAAGTTAAATTTTCCCCCTTAAGCTTTGTTTATTAAACTGAAGTTCTCTTACAAACTTCTTGCCGAACTGTACGCAGCTGTTCATTCACATGTGGATGTATTTTGAAACATGAGTACCTTGCTTTCCCTAGTAGATGTGTAAATAGAATTTTTTCTAAGTCAAGTTCTGTTGTCACTTTAAATTATTTCAGCTGTGATTTGTCTTCAGTTTAAAACTTGAGTTTAGCGTGACTTCCCACTTCAGCTTTTAAGCTCTTTTTACTCATCTCTTACCAGCTGTTTACTGCTCTGAGAGCAGCACTGTCAGTTGAGTAGGGGAACCTTTTCTTCATAAAGGCACTCAGTTTAAACCAGGGAATCCCTTTATGTACCATGGAAATCAACTGATTTGTTTTGTAAGTTTTTGCACATCAATCAGGCTTTTCCTTTTTTAAACTTAAAATTTTTAATAGAAAATTCTTTACAGATACAGATGTAGACAGAACAGTACAATAAACTGCTGTGTGCCTACCCTGAGCGCTAGCGCTCCCCAGCTCAGCTTCATCCCTACCCCACTACTTCCCCTTCTCACTGTATTCAGGCAGATCCCAGGTATCATTGCTCACCCATATTTTAGCATGTGTCTCTAAAAGATAAGGATAGTTTTACCATTAGACTAAGAACATTAGCAATATTTTCAACTTTCCAGTTAAATCTCAGTTTTCCCTCCTCATGAAATGATTGGTTGTGAAGCCTGTTAAAATCTTTTGATCTGTAGACTTCCTTCTATCTCTTTTTTTTCCTTGCAGTGTATTTATTGGGCATTATTTCTGAATTAAATTGTAATACTGGCTCCTGGGGTGTGCTCTCTGGGGTAGCCCTTACTTCCCCTCCTGAAAGCCATGCAGATGGTGGTCATCTGAAGAGCTCTTGGTTAGCCCTGGTGGCTGGGACTGGATACTTGAATGTGTTGTGTTTTATCATCAGCCCACGTGGATGTGGCTTCACTTTTTGCTGCTTCACATTAAGTATTTTGTTCTCTTACTGTTGGCCATTAAATACTCTTAACCTCATGCCATAGTCTCAGATGTCAACCCAGGGGTGAACCTTCTGACTTGAGCAGGACCCAGTTGTTGATGGTTCAGGAGCCTGCTAGTGTGTGTGTTTGTTTCCCCAGAAAATCAAGGATTGATGGTAAACAGCAACATGAAAAACCACTCCGGTTATTAGTGAAAAACCAGTAGTTCACTCCGATCAAGATATGCAGGACCTTTGTCCAATTTTCCTATTGATCAAAAGTCTGTCCTTCTCCCAGAAAAACAGAACAGGGCTTGAGTTCTGAATAACACTCCTTCATCCTTGTAACAAACAGGAACGTCAGTTGAAAAAGACAGCCAAGTCTCAGGCATTTATGTAATAAAATACTTTATTAGAATCAGTAATTTGTTAAAATAATATCCTTCACATATAGCTAAAGTGCAAATATCTCTCCCTCTACAGTACAAAGCCAGCCCTCTGCCGGGCTTCCTCAATGTGCTTATGAAACCAAGACCACAGAAGAGTTAAGGTTTAGGAAATAACCTTGTGGCAGCATGTAAGTATGAAAACGTTACTTAGGAAGGCTTGAACAGCTATCACTTTGGGTCATTTCATTCATCTTTTCACTTATTAACCTTTTATGACACTACTCCAAATAACTGTATATGCATCTGCCCCATCAGAGCAGTGACTCCTTATGTGAGGAACTGAAGCCTCAAGTTACAGAAACATTGTGTGTATTCACCATCAAGACAGGAGCAAAGAGAAGTAACAGTTAAACATCATGGGTCCTGGTACTAGAAAGGAACCCACTGGTTTCTGGCCACTTGGACGCTGAATAGCAGCAGCTGTATTGGCACCTGTGCCATCTATGATTGAAAGAGAAGGTTCTTCCTACTTTCATAAAACGACAACTTGGAGACTTGGCTGCATGACATAGAACACACTTAGCATTCTACAAGTTGCTAGAAAAATAAGGCCACTTGGGGGCAACCTCTTCTGCCTCCCCTGAAAGGCTGGACAGGACAATGTCTGTAGGAGGTAGGGGCAGGCTGTTGAGTAGATAAAGCTATAGGACAGAAAGACAGGGTCTGGTTCAGTAGAAACCGACACTCTTGTTCATCATCAAAAATGTTTAGTTGGTGTTGACATGGCACATGTGTTCTCAAGCATCTACCTGGAGAAAATTCAATGTGGGGGCAAGGACAGACCTGCCCACCTGCACAATACCCAGTTTATAGCATGAGCTGAATGCATTTGTTGTGTGCCAAACCCAGACAACTTTCAGATGAGGGAACATCTGGTCCAAGTTGCTGCAAGTGAAGTGAAAGAAACTTGGAAACACAAAGAAAAGCCCGCTGGCCATTCCCCTGCACTTATTTAGAAAAAGACTCTTGCATAAAAGTTCGTAAAGTAACTATGGCTCAAAGACTTCCTGGAAATAAGCAAGGTATCTAAAGGTGAAATGTTGCCAACATTACTTTTATTTTCCTATCTCAAAAGTTTGCTCTGCTGGTAAGAATTAAGTCACAATACTAATCTCTTTGCATGGGGGTAAAAACCTTTAAGCAAGCAAACAAGCTTTCAAATCACTTCTCCAGTTCTCCCAGGAGTGCTGGTTTGCCTGGTTCAAGTCAGGAAAGACTCAGCAGCCTTACCCATGTGGCTCTCTTGGGCCTCTTCCCATAGCCTTGGCCTCTCCCCCCAACCTTAGTGCAAATTCTGCTCCAGAACCTTGTGTTCTGGTCACACAGGGAGCATTTATGCCCCCATGGCCTGCTGGGCTACCATGCTAACAGTGACCAACAGCACAGATTCAGCAAACACCACACAACACTGAGTAGCTTGCTCCAGAGGGGAAAATAAATAAGTTGGTTGAATTATAAATTATCGTAGAGACAAGCCTTAATAATTTAAGTTTCTTTTTTAACTCAAACCCAAGAACATTTTGGCTATGAAGAATGTTTAAGGTCTCCTTTGCATGGGGAGACTAAGTTTTGAGAACGCTGTTTCTTTGATTTTTCTCAGGTTACACCACCAAGGGAGAACTGACACAGTTAGGGTTTCACCAGCAGCGTCTCCTTGAACCCAGAATGATTGGGTTTGGCTTCCGGCAATGCTACTGGGTACTCAGTTGTGGCAAAAAGGAGGGTGTCTAGGGTGGTCTCAGTGCACTTGGCAATGAAGCGGATGAAAGGCCTTACGTCACCCTCATTGGCAACTTCCAGCACATGGTAATACTCAGACCGCTGCTCCTTGCGAATGGTGATAGGCGGGTAGCCCGCCTGCATCAGGATGAGGTTCATCAGCAGGCGTGAAGTCCTTCCATTGCCGTCGATGAAGGGGTGGATGTACACCAGTTTATAGTGTGCTAAGGCTGCAAACTCAACCGGGTGTAGGTTCATGGCCTCTTCCGAATTCAGCCACTGGACAAACTCCTGCATTTGCTTTTCCACATCTTGAGGGTGTGGAGGGATGTGATGTCCCACGAGGACCTGGGTTGTCCGGAACCTGCCGGCTTCCACTGGGTCGACATACCCCAGCACCCGCCTGTGGATCTCCAGCACATCACTGATGGTGACAGAGCCTATGCGGGACACCAGGGTGGTGTTGATGTACTTCATGGCTGCGTGCATACCGATGACCTCGTTCTGCTCTTCCAGGCTCTTGCCTGGCACAGCGTAGCGGGTCTCTAGGATGTGCCTGATCTCTGACAGTGTGAGGGTGTTGCCCTCAATGGCTACTGTGTGGTAGATGTGATGGTAGTATGTCTCCTCCATGACCCTGTGCAGTGCCGAGTTGCCCTTAGGGATGGACATGACCTTCTTCACTTTGCTGTCGATGATGCTGAAGTACCTCTGGTCAATCTCCTCCACCAGAGGCAGCGTCCGGTCCCGGTTGACCAGCGCTTTCTTGTTGTAGGGCGAGATGGTCAGCGCCCTGGTATACAGATAATCCGCCTGGACGATGTCCTTGTCTTCTTCCGAGAAGATGCCATATTCATTAAGCGCATCCACAAAGTCCGGGTCCATCTTGAGGGCGTGCAGGAAGAGCTTGTGGGCTTTGTCCCGCTTGCCGTGGCGCTTCATTTCCAGGGCCTGGTTCAGAGCTGCTCGGGCTTCCAGCTTACCAGCTGGAAAAGACCCAGAGAGGCACCGTCAGGGAGGGCGGGGTGGCAAGGGACGTTCGGGACAGCTGTCACCTGCACTGGCCTCAGGAAACCATGCCAACCAGCCCAAGTGTCTGGCCTGAGGGAGCTCCTTGCAGCTGTGCTGTAGTACTTTCTACGTACCAGGTCCCACCCTGTTGTTAGGGCTGTCAAGTTGATTCCAACTCACAGTGACCCCATGTGATAGAGGGGAACTACCCCATGGAGTTTTTTGACTATAATCTTTGCAGGAGCAGAGCACGAAGTCTTTCTCCCACAGAGCAGCTGGGGAGGGAAGTTCTAATAGCCAGCCTTTCGGTTAGCAGTGCTAAGCGCTTAACCATTGTGTCACGAGCACTCCTTAGAACCACTCCACACCAAAGCATTTGTCCTTACAGCCTATGTGGTGGCACACAGGCCACTGCCCCTTTGTCCCCAAAGCCATTCTCAGCACCCTGGAGGGCATCACCTAGGTGCCCTTGTTCCTGACTGGCAGTGGTCAGTGGGAGGCACAGCCAGGAGACCCAGGCAGGGAGGAGAGAAAGGTCAAGGCATTTACTCCCCTGGTGCCCTCCCTGCTGTGCTACAGCTGTGAGTGGCCGTGTCCCTCCGTGGCCACGGCCCATCAGGTGGCCCTCTCCTATGACTTCTCCAGCTTTCATCTGGTTCTGGAATGCTAGTCTCTCCTGCCCCTTCTAGCCTAAGGGTAGTAACAGCTCTCCACGGTGGCTAGGCCTTGGGTGCTACACCATTCCTTGACTTCAATGATTTTCCCTTAATTAATTGCTAATTTAGTAAATAAGGTGGTTATTATGTGCTATAGAGTCACACCTGATTCGTAACAACACCTCCTTGGGTTTCCGAGGCGGTGTCACTATGCAAGTAGATTACCCAACCTTCCTTCCAAGGAGTAACTGGTGGGTTTGAACCGCCAGCCTTCTGGTTAGCAGTCAAGTGCCTTAGGCAGTGTGCTATCAGAGTTCCTAATAAATAAGGTTAGTTTATTTATTAATAAAATTTCTTTAGTTCATTCTGTTCCTTTAATTCCTTTAACTCAGTGGTTCTCCTCTAGGGGTGATGGTGCCTCTGAGAACACTGGGAAATGTCTGTAGTCATTTTTGGTCATCATGACTGGGGTGGGGGTGCTACTGGCACTAATGGGTAGAGGCCAGAGATGGTGTTAACCATCCCACATTGTGGAGGACACCCCCCCCAACAGAATGATCAGGCCTGAAATTTCAGATCCCTGAATTAGACTGGAAATCCCTGATTTCAACCTAGCCCCTGCCTGCCTCCTCAACCCCATCTCTGCCCACCCCTCCACAGAGTGTCAGTGACACACATTCAACTTCTTCTAGTTCCTACCATACCCTAGGCTCTCCCCGACCCTCTGGTCTCCCAGGTGCCATTCCTTGTGCTGGGAATGCTCTGCCCTTATGCTTATCCCCTTAGATCACTCCTCCTTACAGGCAGCTCTCAGCTCAGACATTTCCTCCTCCAAGAAACCTTCCTGGTGTGTTCCCATGACTGTTTGTGCTTCCCCATGTGACACTGCATCAGTCACCTGTCAGTAAGTCTTAGCTGGGGCTCAGGGCTGACACCCCCATGCCTGGCACAGAGTAGGCACTCTTGGATTAACAAGCATTGAGGAGAGAGGTGTCTTACCGGGAGAGGCCTTAGTCTTGACCACCAGCAGCTCTGTGTCCCTGGAGGTGATGCTGAGCTCTGTGGTGGGGCTCGTGCACTTGGTGACAGCATTCTGTGCCCTGTCCAGTTTGCTTCGGAACAGGTAGAAGCCTTTGAGCATGGCCAGACACTGCTCCTGCACGGTCCCGGTGGGCAGCAGCAGGGCCAGCAGGGACCCCAGGACCATGCTCAGCAGTGTCACCCACAGGAAGCGGCCCCAGACCGAGACCCATTTTGGTTCGGTCACCGCCATCACCGAAGCCATCGGCATGAGCGTCATCTGGACTCGGGTGGGCTCTGTGCACGTGTCCACCATCAGCTAAGATAGAGCAGGATCTGAAAGGCAAACCAAGAGTTGTTGGAAACAAGGCAGGAAAAGGGACATGTTCAGGACACATTTTCAGTTGGAGATGGGCTTGGCGACGTCTGTGACTTTGTTGTTGAGAATATACACAACAAAACAGCTAACCAGTTGAACAGTTCCTACATGTACGTTTCAGTGGCAGTGATTACATCCTTCAAGTTGTACAACCATTGTACTTTCCTTTTCTGAGTTGTTCCTCCCCCATTAACTCATTGCCCCCTAAGTTTCTTATCGAATCTTTCCAGTTGCTATTGTCAATTTAATCCCAGATACTTCTTAAAAATGGTAGCATAGTGGATAAAGCATTTGGCTGCTAACCAAAAGGTTGGTGGTTTAAACCTACCAGCTGCTCCAAAGGAGAAAGGCAGTCTGCTTCCATAAAGATGACAGCCTTGGAAACCCTCCAGGGCAGTTCATCTCTGTTCTATAAGGTCAATGGAGTTGGAATCAATTTGATGGCAACGTGTTTTTAAAAAAGCATCATGCTCAAGGCAGACATTTTCTACTATTTAAGCTAAACTGTTCAGTTTTAAGATGACGTCAGGGGATATTTTTGGTCTAAGGTTCAAACATCATCTCAGGGCAGTAGTTTCAGAGGTTCATTCAGCCTCCATGACTCCAGAATGTCTGGAGTCCATGAGAACTTTAAATTCTTTTCTGCATTTTCCTCCTTTTGATTAGGACTCTTCTATAGAATCTTTGTTCAAAATGTTCAGTAATGGTAGCAGGGTACCATAAAATTCTTCTGGTCTCATTGCAAAGGAGAGACACATGTGCCTCTTAATTGACTGGGGTGGTGAATTGCGGGTGGGGCAAAGCAAGGCTTATATATGCCCTGAAAGAACTGGTACTGCCTCCAGGGCACTGTGACTCTGAAAAGTAATGCTGCTGCCTATTTGCATATCGAGCACTTCTTCTGTACCAGGCCCTGTGCTAAGCACAAAGCACCTCAAGCCTACTACTTCCTGCAGTCTTCACTATCACCCCACTCTCCAGATGAGGAAACTGAAGCTCAGTCACCCAGTGAGAAAGTGGCCGAGAGCCTTAGGACTTGTACTCAAGAACCCACAGCTTGGAAGTCTTCCTCCTTCCCCATAAGTCTCTGTGGTCTCTGACTGTAAACGTCCGGTGTTTGGGACACAAATAATAAACATACACACAGAGACCCAGATCGGCCAAGGCATTCCGAGGCCCATTCTTCTTTTTTTTTAAATTTTTATTGTGATTTTGGGAAAAGTTTACAGAGCAAATTCATTTTCCACACAGCAGTTCATACACATTTTGTCTCATGACATTGATTGCAATTTCCCAGCTCTCTTCCCACTTCCTCCCCATAGTTACCTCTTCCAGTGTGCTTCCCTCCCATGCACTCCTGCCCTCCGAGTGGTCTCCCGATACATACAGTGTGAGGCCCATTCTTTGATAAGCAAAACTGTTTGGGCGCCTAACTTATTGCCACAACTCTTCCCCCTTCACCCTGATATTCAGCCATACGTCCACAGTGCTGTGGCCCTCTGGGGCCTTTCTTTCCTGGCCTATCCAGGTGGAAGCTTGCCTAAAGGTTGGGCAGTCCAAGCATCTCAGAAAGAACTCAGGTTGTGGGCCCGGCGGCCCCAGTGGGTGACTGCTTGGCCTCAGTGACAACAGGCACGTGTTTAGGGCTGGCAGTGACAGTGGCGGGGTCATGTACCCAACCAGCAGTATGCTAACAATAAGCATTTATTGGGCAACTATGGTGTGCTGAGCACTGAGCTGAGTGCTAGACACGCATTTATGTCATTTAGTCCTAACTGTACCCTGTGAAAGGAGCCCTGGCAGCACAAGGTTTCAGTGCTTGGCTGCTAACTGAAAGGTGGGAGGTTCAAATCCACCAGCTGCTCATCTGCTCCCATCAAGATGGCAGCCTAGGAAACCCTATGGGGCAGTTCTATTCAGTCTCATGAGGTCACTATGGGTTGGAATCAACTGGATGGCACCCAGTAACAACCATCCACCGTGTGTGAAGACAGAACTGTTGTCAGCTGTCATCAAGCCGATCCCAACTCATGGCACCCCCCTGTACACAAAGTAGAACTGTGTGCTTCATGGGCTTTCCAAGGCTGTTGACTTTGCAGAAACAGCTCCCCAGGCCTCTCTTGCGTGGAGCTGCTAGGTGGGTCCAGACGGCCAGCCTTTCCACTAGTAGTTGAGCACTTGACTGCACCACCCTCGGACTCCTGAAGGAGCAACTCAAAAACCAAAATCAAACTCATTGCCATCAAGTTGATTCCTGCTCCTAACAATTCCCATTCGGTTTCCGGGGCTGTAAATCTTTACAGAAGCAGACTGACCCATCTTTCTTCTGCGGAGTTCCTGGGGGGTTTGAATCACTGACTTTCTGGTTAGTGGCCAATGGCCTTAACCATTACACTACCAGAGCTCCTTAAAGGAAGAACTAGTAGCTTCACTGTACAGAGGAGTGAAACTAAGGTACAGAGAAAGTCCTTTCCAGAAGTCCCACACGAATGAAACCCCAGTGAGCTTCTGTCCAGTCTTAACCTCTACCTTATTAATTAGTAGGGCCTGTGAACCCGCTCTGGGCTGACCCCGAAATGAGTGATTAGGGCTAAGAGGCTAATGGGGGAGCCTGAATCCCCAGGTCTGGAAAGGCTTGGGATGCGCTCTCAAGGAGGGTGTCTGCTCGGGCGTGCGGAAAGGGCATGGCAGAGTGCTTAGTGCAGGGGGTCTGGGCGGGCTTCCTGAGGGAGAGGGCTGTAAGGGCAACACAAGAGTTCGCCAGTGAGAAAGATGTGTGCCAGGGAGGGGCTGCGTTCCGGGATATGCGAATCTCTCACCTCTCCACTACCCTAAAAAGGGGAAAATAAGGCCCAGAGACGAGAGGGCTCTAAGGTCACTGGGGAGTCGCCCGTCTCCGAACCCGCCCAGGGCTCGCGGCCCGCAG